CTTGCATCTTTAAAATATTAATAGAAAGGTTTTGTGTAAAAAAGAGAGTCAGAAATGGAGAGAAATGAAATTGGATAAAGAAAAAAAATGATAAAAGCTTAATTTATGAGTTTAATTCGAGTTTAATAAAAGTTTAAATAAAACATCATAATGTCACACGATAATATCATTATTGTGCTTGCGTTGATAAATATACAATTATTAACCAATGCTGCATTCTGATTGGACAGATTTGGCCACTACGTGGCCAAATCCTTACCAATCATCTGCTAGCATTGGTTAATAATTGTAATATTAATCGCTACAAGCACTATAATTTATAATTATTATCTACATATTTAATTATACACCTGACCAAATGCCTTTTTTTAGGCTTTCCCCAGCTCGTTTCAACTTCATAGTTGTCAGGAATTCGAAATCCATTCTGACGTTTTGTGTATTTAAGATAAGCAACGGGCGGATAATTTCCTTCTTCAATAATGTTATAGGTGTAACTTCGTCCAGTTTCAGAATACTCAATAATAGGTTTCTCAGGATAATTATGGATTTCAACAAAATTCTTTTTTATAACTTGTTGAGATGGTAAAGGAGTTTCATTAAATTCCATTTTTTATTAATATCTCCTTAACAAGATTTTGATTTTTTTATGATGAAGTTAACAATAACGATCATATTACTAATATGATCGTATATAAAATTGTTGATCGGAATATGAATTAAAAGTGACCCCCAAAAAAATTGGGGGACTTTTCCGATCAGCCCATATGCTATATGTTCAGTATTGTACAATGTCTTCTTAAAATTAAATTCTTAGTCTAATATTAAATACAAATCTACATAACTACTTCAGTTTTTTCTTAACATGCAAAAAGTTTTTTTTAACATATAAAAAATTTTTTAATGTGTGAAAGAATTTTTCTATATAAAAAAATTTTTTCTGAGGGTACTAGGCTTTTTTTTTTTTACCTTTTAAATCTTTATTTTATTTAATTTTTATTATTTATTTTATTTTGAATTATTTATTTACTTTCAATTCTTCAAATTTCTAATTACAAACGAAATTTAGTATTATATAAGTAACAAAATTTCTAAACATAAATCAGAATTTTCTTTTCAATACATACACTATAATATGCAATTAATATACTGTATATCCCGGCGCAGCGCGACGGATTACGGCTAGTTTTATAATAAAATAATTGTTAACGTCTCAACGTGGTAAGGACCCATATCACGGGATTGAGCGTTACAGTGTCAACAAGGTTAAAAGAATGTGTCTGTGTTGCATTGCACATTACACACATTACATATGTGTGCTTTGTTTTGAAAAACGGCAATAAAATATTTGTTGCAGACGCTAAGTTTGAGTGGAGAGGACAGAGAAGTAACTTGTGTTATAGAATATCCTATTGGAGAAGCCGACGATTGTTTGTGTATATTTCGAAAATATTTTGAGCGGTGTTGACTACTGCCTCAGCCTCCGGTCATATGATACATATCAGACGATAATTTGTCTATATTTCACAATTTGTGTATATTTCACAACTTGTGAATGAAAAAAAGATGATAAATTATAAACCTTAAAAATAATTAAAAAAAAGTTAATCATAAAATAATGCAGTTTCCCTTTTTTGATTTTAAAATTCTCCTTAACTTTAATTTCTTTGCTTAACAATATTTAAATTAAATTTTATTACCTAAAATTAAAATTATTTTACATATATTTAGATAATTAAAAGCTATTATCAATATCGAAAAAAAAATAAAAGATCACTAGTTTGATATACTTCGTTAAAAAAAAAAAATTTTATACAAAATTTTATAAGTACGTTGGTTAACGAGAATGATTTGTTGTGAAGTTTAAAGCTTATGACGTATAAAACATTGTAATAACTTCCATCCGCAATAATTTGAATATTAAACTCAGTTAATTAAAAAAACAAAAATTCTGTGACATCGTCTTGTTTAAATTACCCTATATAAAATAAAAAAGCGATACACCAGCATCGGATTATACTTTTTTTTTTTTTGTAACAAATAGGAGTAAGGAGTATATAACAAACATGTAGTGTATGGTTCCATATGTGGTACCGTCTAGCATTTGGTGACAAACAATGTAGATCTGTAAGTGATATTTGACCATACACTACAAGTCTACAAGATATAAACCCATACACTAGTACATGTTATCGTAACAGAAGTAACACCCAATTCTATCAGGTAACGAAAATAAAAGAAATAGGAGTTGATGGCACATGACATAAGATATATTACATTAGTAGGTTACACGTCATTAGTATATGGGATGATTTTATTTTCTTTTTATTTCTGACTTTTAATAATTTTGAAAAATACATTCCACTTTTTTTTCGATAATCATGCCTAAACTTCGAAAGGTATTAATAAACATGACAATTAATAGAGCAACAGCACTAATAATTGATTTCATTAGTTATAATACTCATATAGACTTTCACCATCAGCACGAATTAATTGAAGAAATAATTCTTTCTGATAAATCTCTTACAAAAAGTGAGAAAATGGAAGCAATAAGATTACGTAATAAAGATTATGACAGAGAAAAAATGTTTTATAATTCAGGAATAGGTATTGTATTTTCACTAGATCTTCTTAATAGTTTTTCGTTTTGAATATTCAAATAAATTTTTAATTTCGTATAATTTCGTATCAAATAACCTTTATTTGTCAAATTTTTATAATTTTTATTTAGAAAGAAAATGTAAAAATTGTAATCAAAAATCCTTGGCTACATTATACTGTGAATATTGTGTTCGAAATTTTTTAAAGAAAAATTTTAAATATTGGACATCTGGAAATAATGATATCGATAATTTAATACAGAAATGTCAATTAGAAACATTTGGACCAGATAATATAACTGAATGGATTCCATATAAAAATTTAAAAGATATTAAGTATTTAGCAAAAGGTGGTTTCTCCAATATTTATACAGCCATTTGGATTGATGGAAAATATCAAAATTGGAACTCTAAAAAACAACGATTAATAAAATCTGGACCTGGTAAAGTAGTACTTAAAGAATTAGAAAATGTTAATAGTACAAGTCAAAGTTGGTTTGAAGAGGTTTGTACTAATCTAAAATTTTTAAAAAATATAATATTCTTTAAAATTATTAAAAATTTTTAAAATTATTTATTTTAGGTTAGGTCACTTATTACGATAAGTAATAAGTATTCGGAGGTTATTCCTTGTTATGGATTAACCCAAAATCCATCAAATGGAAATTACATAATTGTAATGAATAAGATGGATATAAATTTAAGAGATTATTTAAAACTAAATCATAACCAACTTACATGGAAAGAAAGAATTAATCTTATTTATTTAATAGTGAATACACTTAATTGTATTCATAAAGAGAATTTAATTCATAGAGATTTGCATTCTGGAAATATATTATACTCCCAGTTTAATAATGGTTGGTACATTAGTGATTTTGGATTTTGTGGTCCTGCAGACAAGTCACCAACAAGTATATATGGAAATCTTCCTTACATAGCACCCGAGGTGTTAAGAAGAGAAAAATATTCTTATAAATCTGATATTTATAGTATTGCAATGCTTATGTGGGAAATTTCATCTGGACAACCACCATTCAATGATAATAAATATCGGAATGATTTAGGTCTTACGTTGGATATAGTAATTCATGGTATTAGACCAGAAATAGTATCAGGAACTCCCCCAAAATATAAAAAATTAATGGAACAATGTTGGGATGCTGATCCATCAAAAAGACCTGATATTAATGAACTTTTGAAAGAAATAAAATATTATCCTATTAAACCGAAAAAATTAAAAATAAAAATGGACGAAGAAACAACTTTCACAAGTAGTAAATTACGTACAAGTAAAATTCATGAATTAAGGAGTACGACAGAAGGTATAATTATTCAATTGCATCAATGTTTATTAATCATTTAATTTCTATTGTTGTTATTAACGTTAATATAATTTTTTTTTCAATTTAAAGAACAAGAAGGTAATATAATAAATAATATAAATTTAACGATTTTTTAATCATTAAAATCAAGTATAATTAAAATATATTTGTTTATAATAGAATTTTACGGTAAACCATATGACTCTAATAATTCTTATAATAGTTGCGGTAAGTATTCATAATTTTACATAAAAAACAATTAATTAATTATTTTAATTATTTGATAAATCGAGTATTTATCAGAACAACAATAAATTAAAAATTTAATTGTCTTTTTATAACAGATTACTATGATAGTTAGCGTTAATTCATTTTTTATTTTACAGATAAAATCGAAATACGTGATAATTCAAAAGAGCTAGATGATTTGAGAATTCCCGATGGTAATGAAATTAATGAATACTTAGTAAAATAATTAAAATTTTTGTACCATTTCGATATTCTGTGAAGTTACTTAATACCTAACATAAACTACTATTACATGTTAGAACTAAAATACAATCGAATTATTTTTTCTTTCATTTTTATTTCTATTTTTATTTATCTTGAATTATTTTAAACACTAAAACTAGAATAGTAAGATTTCTTACAATTTTTAGTTTGTAATTTAAATAGTTCATTTCGTAATATTATATTTTGAGTTTAAAGCCGCTCTTAGTTAAAAAAAATTATAATATTATATTCGCTAAACAACAAGTGAAATATTGCAGAATACAGTTATTGATAACCGGCAAAAACATGACAATTAGAAATAAAATTAAAATTGTGCTGGAAAATGCCAATTAGCTTTATTTAATAGTATGTTGTATTACAAAGAAATATAATTTATATATAGACACGTAATCAAAACAATATAACGGTGTAATCCTAGTGCAATACATTTGTCAAAATTAATTACTATTATTACTATTAAAAATTAAAAAGACCGATGATTATTATCATTGGTCATATAATGTCGATAATTTAGTCCTATAGTTTGCATCATAATCTGAGGAAAAAAGTAAAAAAAAAATGTAATTTAACAAAAAGCCAAAGTTTCGTCTTTTTATCTTGAAATTATTCGAACAACAATCTTTTTAACACAATAAACTATAAAATTTATTCGGATATGCAAAGTATATATTCATATACAGTATAATCTTAAGTAAGATTCTATAAATATCTATAAATATTTTCACAACTTTTCCTTAAAAATAATTCGCTATTTTTTTTATAATATTCTTTAATACAAAATAGAATATAAATGATATAACATGTAGTGATTCAATATTAATAGTCTTTGATTCTAAAATTAGGGTAGATTTTCTTCTTCCAAATGAATATAAAATAATTATTTAGTATATGTGCATGAGCGATAAAAAATTAATGAATAAATTACTTCAATCAGCAAAATTTAAATTACTGTATATTTCTTATAAGTCTTTAATAGAATAAAATTAATGACTTTTACAAATAACTTCTAAAAGAAATAGGAAAAATATATATAATTAGTTTATTATAAAAAGAAAAAAAAACTCCAAAATGTTTATTATAAAATGAAAAAAAACCCAAATCATTTACCGAAAATTTATCCTTTTATTCTGTAAAAATATATATCTTTTTGCTTTATTTATTTCAATAGGCTGTTACAGAAGTAAACTTCTAAAAAATAATAAAAGTAGTTGTAATAAATAAGAATAAATACAGAGTGAATAAAAATAATCATAAAGTATAATATTACTATTTTATGAGAAAATGTAAATTCCGAATTACCTCGAATTATTTTGCAAGGAGTCTAAAAAGTGTTTAAAATATGTATTTTAATTTCGCTATTATATTTTTTGTGGCGCTATTAAATTAAATAGTAAAGAACTAAAGATATCACGAATTTAAGTTTTGTGTAGCATTATATAAAATCTAGCTAATAAAGATGCGCACACTTGAGTTAAGTAAATACATAATACAAAATTACACGCCTAATTTAGATTTTGCAATTTATTTTTTACATATTACTCCATTAAATTAGAAAAAAAAACTGAATGGTAAAGTCACTGTTCGAAGTGATACACTATGGAAACCTTGATGTACGTGATTGAAACTACATTTCCACAAAAACTGGAAACTTCATTGAAATCTGGCGTACACCATGGAAATTGGACAGATTTCCACCAAATTTTAATAGTATAAACTTCATGTAAACCATATCTCTCGACCTGTGAGTCTGTGAAGTTACGAAAGCCTATGAAGTATGGTATAATTTCAAGGTTTTGGTTTCGGCCAGTCATATAAAATTTCTTGTTTAACAATCTCACCTGGTGGCCAAACTTTTATCCGAAGTCACGCGATTTATAATTCTGGCTGGCCAGAATTACAAAATAATTTCGGTCATGTTCTTAAATTTCGGCCAGAGTTTCGCTTCAGATTTCGAATCTTTCGGATTCGGCTACATGTATAGATTGTATAGTATAGATCAGTATAAATATATACAGGTTCGTATTAACTAATTTACGTTATCTAAAATAAAAAATATGTAAAGCAAATATACTAAGCATATCGGCTGATCAGAAAAGCCTCCCATAATTTTATATGCTAATGACAATTAAGTAACCCATCAGTTATATAATGAACTCATTAACTGAGCTTAAATATTAATTGGCTTGATTTTTCCAATCAGCCGATTGTAAGTATGTAAACATCACTTTCTGATATAAGAAATACAATATAACGCCAAATTTCACAATTAATATTTTCACTATCATTATTTTCTAAAACTACATCAATTAATGTTGATAGGTCAATATCAAAACTAATACTTAATTTAGTATTTCCTCCTTCATAGAGTTCATTATTATTACTTAAAGAGATTAAAAAATTGGATATGATTCCTGTTATAACTGCATAACTAATTATCGTGCCAGATTTTCAAATTTTATTTTTTATTTAACGTGATCCTTTAATATTATTTCGGCATTTGAAACATTTTTTTCAAAATAATTCCTTATTCGTTTAAAAATACCAACTTTCTCTAGTACTGTACAATGACATTAAAAACCTTATTTTGTTTGATATGACAACAATTTTTAGAAAAATATCTCAATGTGTGGCGTTCAAGGTTTAAAATACCGAATAATAATTATCCAAATCATGTGCGCAGATTATGTGTAACCTGGAAACAAATCCGGCTACCACTTTTTTTTTATTGATAATGCTAGGGTCGTTCATATAACAGCGATTTAATCAACAGAATTACAAAAAAGAATATGTATAAAAAAAATAAAATTAAGCCTATTTGCGAATTTAAAAAAAATTAAAGGAAGTGCGAAGATTATTTTGGTTGTATAAATAATTTGATAACCTAACACAAAATAAGTTGTATAAGTTGCATCAAAAATTTTGAGATTATGGCTAGAATTAAAGGATAAATGTAATTTTTAATAAAAATCAAATTTTCATGTGTTTTTCAACAATTATCCGTAACATGACCTTTTTGAACTTAACAAATTTATTAATTGTATTTAATTAAGCATACCTATTTATTTAAATGAAAAATTTTGCTTGCTAACCGGGGATAAATTTTTATTTGTCAACCGCTAAATTTTGACCAATCAGAGTAGATCATATGCCCACATGAATTTCGGCAAATGTGGCTGATGAAATGATAGCATGAATATGATCATCAGGTGATTGAATACTCCGGCAACCGAAGAGAGCCGGAATCTAGTAATTCGAGTCATTATTTTAAAGATTTAATAAATATAATTCAAAGTTTGCAAATTTAAAATTAGAGAGACCCTTGTTAATTAAAATTGAAAATTGAAAGCAATATAGTTACAAATATTATTCATTACAATGATTAATGTACAAATAAACAAATAAATTAACCATTACAATTAATCAGCAGTATATGTTTTTTGCATAATGTCCTATTACATGAACAATTCTTACATCGCCTTAAAGTTTTACTTTCACGATTTTCATGAGAATTCTCCAATGGCGCACCTGCTATTGTATTAATTTGTCTGATAAAGCTTATTACCCTCGATGGAAGACTTTAATCCTACCCGACCCTTATGTCTTTTATATTCTGGTGGAGGAATATCTTCAGTACTATCTAAATCATCAAAACTATGTAGTTGAATTGAAGTCTTACCTTCTTGTCTGTTCCTTTTTAATAATCCATTGATTGGTAGTATTATAAAGACTAAAGTCTTCATCCTCAACGGCCTTCTTGAGTACTTCTTTAAACACTGGGAATTTTTCCATATAGATCTCTAATTCGCCTTGCCTTTGCCTTTACTTTTTCTTCATCATTATTTAAATCACCACGAATTTGAAACACAATACCATTTGTCATATAGTTAGTTTCAACTACATGATCTCCTTGAGTTGTTATAAAAGGACCATTAGCTGCAACCATGTTTTGGTCCATCTGCATATAATTATCTTTAAATCAACGAATAGGAATAAGTTTAATGTTAAGTTTGGTCATTCTTACCAGGTTATCAAAGAAAAAAAGTTCTCTTGATAGACCAAATTCTTCAGGAATATTAATATTACTAATATTGAAGGATGGTGGTGAAAATAGTTCGTTTATATTAAAAATGTTGAAAGAAAAAGGAAAGCAGTAAAAAAAGATCTAATAGATAAAATAATATTTAACTATTTAATCAATATGGCACATAGATAAGCGGCTAATGCAAGATCAACCAACAATTTTTCTATTTCAATATACATTGTATATATTCATAAATTAAAGAAACAAGTTCCATAAATATTTCTTACAACCCGTTATCATGCTAACGAAAAAAGGCGTATAAGGTAGAGTAGGATCATTCCAAAATAGAAAATTAAGATGACGTTAGTCAGTGTTGGCATTTGGCCGTTTTGGCTGGTGTGACGGGCAGTTCACCACTATCTACAAGATGCTGCCACCATCTTGGTCACAAGGAGTAAAGGTTAGTAGGGTTAGCAAACATGATAACAAAAGGATTAAATAAGTGCTTGGTTTAGTGGGTTTGGTTATGGTAAACTATAGCTGTAAAGGTTTGGGCATAGTTTTCCTATCGGTTGTGACTCAATATTCATTTTGGTTTGGTTATAGTTCGATAGAGACATTAACGTTATAGGGTTAACGTTAGAGTTCGGGTCTTATAATTAGACATTTAGGTTTGATATTGTATGAGTTTGGTTTAGAGGTTGGAACCGATCAAAAAAACCTTAATCGATTAATAATCGATTAACCAAGGGCCCTAATCGATTAATAATCGATTAATATTAAAATATTAAAAATTTTTTTTTTTTGACCGCAGATTGCACCAAATTGTTTTTGATCATACATTTAGTTATAGGAAAGTCTTATTTATTATTATTATCATTAAAAAATTAATACATACAAATTCTTCTAAGTTCGGAGAACACGTGACCAAAAATTCACAGCTCTGGGCCGCATTAGATAATTTGACCAGAATTATGGGTTGATAATTTTAATCGATTAACCGATTTTTGAGATACCTTAATCGATTAACCGTCTTAGTCGATTAATTAATTGATTAACCTTAATCGATTCCAAACTCTAGTTTGGTTTTAATATGGAAATATTAACGTTATAGATTTATCGTTTGAGTTTGGGTCTTATAATTAGACATTTAGGTTTGATATTATATGAGTTTGGTTTTATTATTTTATGACTATACATCTTTTGATAGCGTTATTGTTTGATGTTAATATAAGTTCATTTGATTTATGTTATAGTCATGTTTCGATTTTATAAGTTCGGTCATGTTATTTGTTGGACATGTTAAATACATGCATAAGTATGGTTACAAAGTTTCGTACATAGTTTCCTTACGCACTTAAAATATTTCGATGTTAAATTTTTAACTTTATTATTTTTCTTGAAAAAAAATACATAAAGGACTTGGTTCAGTACTTCGAGACTAAATTTCTTTTCAGGAAATTTTCTGGGAATTCTGTTGAAAAAAGTCTCTGGTAAAACAAGAGGAAAATTGAGTTATTTTATACAAATTGGGGTTTCACTAATTTCTAGGTGATATTAAAATATTATTGGTATTTCTAAGTTACAATTGTTTAAATGTTCCTATTCCTTGGCTGTGCCACATAACCTGTTTGGTTGATCATCAGGTCAGATGGTTCTCATGCTGATCATTAAGTCCTTGACTGATCGTCAATTCGGGTACTTCTTGCTGATCATCAGGTTAAATGATCGTCCTGTTAAATGATCTTCTTGATTATGTAATCATTGCTATTTAAGATCACGTGATTGCTAATCATTAATTACGTCATTCTACAATTGATTTTCTTCTTGTTGGTTTTGATTTACCTACTACTTTGTGTTCGGTTGTGTTTTATGATGAATTCTGGCACTACACCGGCCACCAAAATGGCGGCCAAACTTTTTAATAAGTTTTAGCCAGCCAAAATGGCAAAGTCTCTAATAAATTCTGACCATATAATGATAATGATTTATCTTTCATTATCAAATTTATTCAATTTTATGTTTATTTATTTATTTTGAAAATTATAAAATTACAATTAATCTAAAATATCCTCAGTAAAATTGTTTTCTCTATTAATACTTCAATAAAACCACCAAATTGAGACATCTAATAAAATAATTTTATAAAACAATTTTTTACTGTACTAATGAATCATGTATGAAAATGAATTAGATTCTTGGCCATTTGATTAATATTATGTTTGGCCGATTTGGCCTATTTAGTTCTCAATTCCCAATCAACTTTAGTCATCAATTTTGGCCGTTGGCTTTGGTCGATCAGCCAAATCAGCCAACGGCAAAACAAATTGGTTTGGCCACGACTGACGGTTAACACAAGATAATATAAAAATGGTTTCCTTTCTCCGCTCCGGACAATTGCCATTATTAAATTTCATTCCCATCCTTTTGCATCATTCCTATGGATTTACTGACAAACAATTACTTTATTAAAATGTTCAGTCGTCAGATATAGACATAATTGATTGTTTTTTAACATTAAATCATTTTTTTTAAAAAAAGATAATAATAAATATGGGCTGAAAGTTTTATACAAAGGATTCAGATGTTAGGAATATAAATAGTTTTTGATGAGCATAAAAAAAAAAATTGCAACTTTCAATATTCAACCTCTAAAAATTGAGTCAATTTAATTATTATTTTTATTTACGTTTAACTACTTGCTTCAAACATGAAACTATAGTGAATGATGTTTCGATTTATGTGCATATTAAACTTATTATAATCCTTTTTGAATTTCGCATAGAAATTTGCTAAAAGATTATTTTTTAAAAAAAATCTGAAATAAATAGTTTAGTAATAAAGTAGATTGTCCTGACTCCTGAAGAAGCTATATCTAAAAATCTTGAATTAGCGAATGTCGATCTCAAGGACTGTAATCTTCATAGGAATATTTTTTAAAATGGTTATTACATATTTATATAATACATTTAATAATAATTTTCTTTTAAAACGAACTTGTGTCGCACCATATTTTTTACCTTATGCTTTTCATTGCTTAAAAGATTATAAACTTATCACACCTTCACACGCTAATTTATAATGAATTTCAATTAATATTATTATAAAAATTATCATTATGGATATAAAAATAAGCATAATAATTCGCTTTAGATTAATCCTGCGGCCAATAGCCATTATTTATAAAAATTATAATCTAAGATATATAAAGATAAAACGGTAAATTATGACAAAAATAAGTCAATAAAATCAGTAAATATCATTGGTATTCGTAATTAACTGAAATGAAAAATAAAAAAAAAATGAAAAGAATTGCGAAAATTGTAAATATATCCTGAAATACAAGTAAAATATTATAAAAAATATTCATTAATAACTCTATTTTAATTTTGGATGTGAGGATCTGATTGCACTTCTTGGATCATTGCTTACGTTTGTTTATTTCTTGTAGGGTCCCTTGACCCTTGACCAGTGCGATAATCGAGTAGTACAGCTCACCCTTGCTATAGTGAAGCTCATGGGCTGAAGGTTAAGATTCACTATAGTAAGGGATTCGCTATAGCGAAGGTGAACTGTATTAAGAATTATTATTTATATAGAAAATCCGTACCTGAGCTTTTCTTTACTATAGCAAATTATTCACTATATAAAAATTCACTATAGCGAGGGTGAACTGTATAACGAATATTCGATTTCTTTATGGTAAACTTTATATTACATATGGGCTGATTGGAAAAATAAAGCCAATTAATATTTAAGTTCAGTTGATGGGTTTATTATATAACTGATGGGTTTACTTATTGTCATTAGCATATAAAATTATGGGGGGCTTTTCTGATCAGCCAATATAAATACAAAAAAAAGTTTCCTTTGATGAAAGTTTTTTAATTTTTGATTTTAAAGCATTAAGAAGTCTCAATTAATTATAAAAATATACAATAGATTATTTTTTCCAAATTATTCATATATATATATATACAAAGATTTTATTGCCAATAGCATTTGCAATATTTCAATTATTATGTCTATAATTTCTATTTGATAATGGTACAAATAAGACAATAAGTCACTAATTTTTATTACTTGATAAACAAAATTGTAATTATGAATCAAATATATTATTACAAAATGTCTTTATAGTTAATTCAAGCTAAAGTTATCAGTTATTTCCTTAGCAATAAGTCTTGCGGATTTTTTTCGTAAACTTATGTTTTTAAAATGCCACAATCTTTTTACCAGTTTATACAGTTTATATAAAAAAATGGGACATAATAATTCGGAAATTTATTGCATTCCTTCAGGTGTAAATTTTTTCTCATAAGTTGAGCTCGATAGGCAGTTGCATATAATCTATGAAAGGCGAGTTGGCTATGTGGGTGATGAATGATGGTGCTAAAGTATCTAGTGGAATAAAATTATGTACAGACGATTATGTCCGTCTATAAAGATTATGGCTATTTCTTCTTTAAGAGTCTATGGTGCCCTACTTGCCAGTTGGTCATCTAACTCTAAATACGCTTTCCTTGGATATCGAAAAACTATCCCAACCCAGTAAAAAGTCATTGTATATAAATCGTGCAGTTTTTGTTTTATTTTTGTAATAATCATCTAGTTTTTGTTTAGTATTTGTATAATTGAATAAAATCGCATTTTTTCATAAAATTTAATCATATGATTATTGTAGGCTTTTCATAACATTATTAATATTCTGATATTTAAATTTTATTTCGTAAACTTAAATGTATGATTATTGTAGATTTTTTATAAAGTTATTAAATTCTAACATTTATTAAATGGAAATTGTACAATTATTTTAATATGGATTTTTGAAATTTGTTTGAAATTTGTACTATTTAATGATTCGTGCAATTACTAATTACTTTCACCATTTGAATCTATATAATTATCATTAGGATCATAAAACTATTTTCACATGATTTTAAGAATCTATACATTGATCAATCACTCTCATATCAATAAATTGCTCAACTAGCGTATTTTTGCAATATCTTTGTTATATGGTGAAAATTAATTAATGGAATATCATATTCTATATGTAAAAAATATGCAAATATAAAATTAGAGAAATATGCTAAAATATAATATCAATATATGATATATATATATAGTTTAGGAATCATAAACTTCGTAGCCACGCTCAATTAAGGCAATGTATTACTAGACCTACACTAAAGATGACTTTAGCAAGGCTTTCTTTGTGAATTAAAAGAAATTTCATACACTTTGCCAGCTGGTGGGATAGCTTATGACCTCTAACCTCAAGTCTGTTTATACTAATAAATCCAGAATATTTGCATCGCTAATAAAAAGTATAGTTAAGGCACTTCAAAGAATCCCTAAAAAGAAAAAAATAAATAAATGAGCAATTAGTAAACATTCATCAAAATTAAAATAAATTACAGCCGAATATACTAAGAGATATAATCAATATATTAACCAAATTTTACGTGTCTAGATCCATCTAAAGAGCAAATAGTTGTAGGTTCAATATTTGTTAGTTTAGTTCTATTGATGTACTATTATCAGATTTGTCAATATTTTCTTGAAAAATTGGTTCGTAATTAGGAGATTCTAAGTCTAAAATTTCAGTATTTTTGTCATTTTCTTCATCTTTGCTTGATTCTCGTTTTAAAATCTCAATATCTTTATCATCTTTATCAGATTCTTGCTCATCAGTACTTGATTTTTGAATATTTCCACTTTGAGAGTATGAAACTAAATTTTGGCCTTTGCATTTCAAACAATTACAAAAAACTTTTAGTCCTTTGTTACTTTTCTTTTTTTACTTTTGACAGTTTTTAATAGACATTTGAATAATTATTAATCGGGATATTAAGAAAAATTGCTGCTGGTTAAAATATGGTATAAAATCTAATAGTTACACACATTCCTTATTTGTATAACAAAAAACTTTTAAATTTTACTTATTATAGTAGACAATAGATCAATTAAAAATAGTTATGCAATAAGAATTTAACTTAAATAATTATGACGTATTATAAGTTTATATAATTCATATGATCTTTTTTATTTTAGAAGTTTTTTTTCCCAGGATTCATTACTTTTATTTTTCGAAAAATAAAGATTTTCTCTATAATGGAATATAATAATAGTGAAATGTCTGATTGTTCTTCCAATTCCGATGGTGGTTCTTTTATTAATTGTGAAAAGGAATCTACATTGAAAAAAATTGCAGAACTTAAAAAAAAATTATGAAACTTGAAAATACTTCTATGAAAAAGGAAAAGACAAAGAGAAAATTGAACCAAAAACTTGTAGATAAAGAATCTTTTGCCATAACAAATAAAACAAAAGGATCATCAAATCAAAGTCGTTTAAAGGATAAATCTTTTAATAATAAATCAAATAATAAAAGTCAGCCAACCCTCTCTGAAGAAGATGATACTGAATTTTCTAGTGATGAACCTAAACAGGTGGCAATTATTTTAAATATAACATTTTATTGTTATTTTTATTTATTATTTTAAAATATATAATAGCCAATATTCAAGAAGAAAATATAAACTATCAAAAGATTCCTTCTTTTCTTCATATCCCAAAGAGTATTTGGCGTGGCTATGTGGTCAGTATATAATATTATTATTAATATTTGAGATAAATGTTTAACTTTAATATACTACTGCAGGAATCAATGAGACTTTTAGTAGCTGAAAAACTTTATCCTCTATGCCCTACCATCGAATATCGTGATATGCCTATTAATGAAATTAATAAATGCATTGATAAGGTAAATACTAACTGTAATCCTGAATTCCATTTATTTAACACTTTTTAACCAATTTTTTATTGTATTAGTTTCATAAGAAAAATCCATCCTTTCTAGAAACTGTTAGTGATTGGGCGGAACGTGAGATGATTTGTCGACATATAAATTATAGACGTAAGTTTATCTTAATTTAATATTGTTTTGTCATTATTCTGCTATTTTACTAAAATTTTCAACATTTTATAGGGTCAATTCTTAATCTTAGCGAAATGCATAAGATAAATATTTCTGTTAATAAAGCTAAGATCCGAAAACCAAATGGTAATAGTAAAAGAGCCAAAAAAGGAAATGAACTATTAACAAAAAATCGAATCATGGTAATTTTTAATTTTGATGAAATATTTTAAAATGAATCAAATTAATAACATTACTACCAATCAAACAGAACCATTATTGGTATCCAACAGCCCGAATATAGAAAGTTTGGAAAGGCTTGATAATAATAAATCTTTACCGAGTAAGAGTAAGCTCATAGATTCTTTAATACATATGTAATCAACTAAATATATAAAATATATTACAATAGAATTATTAGAAGCCGTTGATGTCTCCCCAGCTTATTCTAAACGTCCTGGCCATAAACATAAAATAACACAATCATCTGATAAAGAAGAAGCTATTGAAGACGTTGAAGTTGTAAGAATTCCTCCAGCAAAACATCCTGGTCGTAAACGTAAGATAACACAGCCATCTGATGATGAAAAAGGTGTTGAGGACGTCGAAACTATCAGAATTCCTCCAGCAAAACATCCTGGTCATAAAACTAAAGTAGCACAACCACCTGATGATGAGAAAGGTGTTGAAGATGCTGAAACTATCAGAATTCCTCCAGCAAAACGTCCTGGTCGTAAATGTAAAGCGGTATAACATTATTTAATATATTTATCTATGTATTTGATATTTTATAAATTAGTACATATTTAATATATTATACTTTAATATATTACATTCTATATATTTTATACATATGTAAAACAAAATATATACAAATGTATTTCGAATGCTAAATAAAAGTATTACGAGTTTGCTACAAATCATTTACAAATTTTGTATAAATGGATGCTCATAATTGTATTAAACTTGTTATGTTAAAATATATTACATTTTTTATACGAAAATTTGACAAATACTTTTTACTGGGCAATAGTTAGTTTTCCCATAACCTTTTCGTTCTCTTCATCTCTATAAAAAGTTTTATCCAGTATTATTTCTGTAAAAACTCTGTAAAAATAAGCTTTTCACAGATACATTCACGGAAAATATAAATAATTTGATAAATTCCATAATATTACCAAAATAGTACCTACGAAAGATTCTAGGCTATCGACAAAGTATAGCATGAACTAGTCCCCGTATACCTTGGATGTATTCGTCAAAAATTTACACCTCGTTCAGATTCATATAGTGTATTCTACTCACGGAAAAAAATGTTCATCACATATTTGTAATTTGCAGAACATATACATCATTATTTTAAATGTAAATGCAATATTTAACGCTAATGAAATCCATGAGATTTTTATCATAATGTGCAGCATTTATGATGAATATTCAATGCGAGCAATGTTAATGAGGAATTTATATTGTACTCGTGCTGCTTTCACATTTAATGGTAAAGTTGCAGTTGGATCCGTATAAAGTTATTAAATAAGTGAATAATATCATTCACTACAGAATTAGAAAGTTTACTCCCTTTTCACACTCTATTAATTCCCTTTCCATTTTCACTTCCCTTTCATTCTCCTCTTTCCTTTCATTCTTACCTCCCCTTTTTTTCTAACCTCTTTACTCTCCTTTGGCTGAACTATGATATTAAGACACAAATAGGTTGCAACCTGGAAACTAGTTTAATGTTTAATCGTATATAAAAAATATCATAAAATTATCCAATTGCGCTAAAATCATCAATATTGTTCTTGGAAATGTACTGTACTACTATATAAGTTTATTCACTTTCTGCAAAAAAAATTTTTACGTTCGTTTTCATGTTTTATTTGGGTACCTAAGAATTTCAGTGGTGGCACTATACAAAAAGATTATTATACCAATTGTACCATCAATTAAAAAACTTGAATAATCAGCATCACATGATCAGTTTGCCGATCGATCTCTTTTTTACTTAAAAAAACGAGGGGACCGTATTATCTGAAACTATTTTATGTGAATTTTCATTTCTTTTCGATATTTCCTCTTGTATTTTTGATTCATTCATTCCTTTAACTTATCCTTTCTAAATTGCTTAACTATATCCACTACTTCATATTCATTAAATAAATATATATAGAGAGAGAGAAAGAGAGATTTTGGTGACTTTACTTAAATACATGGTTTAAATAAATAAAAAATCAAATGTAATATTTTTTAAAAAGAGTTTTAAAAAAACATTCTAATATATTATAGGAACACCGGCTTTCTGAAATTAGACTTTTGAAAGGGTAAATTTTTTATTTTTATTTTTTCTAATTGTATTAAGAACGTTTCTAAGTAAACGCTTCTATTATAGGAACACTAGCTTTTTGAACTTAGACGAACTGGACTTTTGAAAGGTAAGTTTTGTTTTATTTCTTTTAAATGCATTAAAAAAAAATTTCTAACAAAATGTTCTTTTCTTTTTTTATTGATGAATTGGACTTTATAGACAGGTATATAATTACTATGGCGTGTGTGTGTTTTTTTTAAGGAAATGTCTTTGACGTTTCTTTTATTTTTTTTTTTGTTTTTTTTTTAATTTAAAAGATTCTCTTTTTCGTAAGTTTCAAGGCGAAACTTACGTTTTTTTTTTTAATTATTTTTTTTTATTTTTTTTTAAAAAATTTTTTCCCTTTTTTTTGTAGGTATCGGTTGGTTCGACTGTGGATCTTAGATCTGGTAAGTTTCGAGGCGAAACTTAAAGATTTTTAAATTTTACTTTTTTTTATTTAATTTTTTCTCTCTTTTGTAGATATCGTTGGTTCGGCTGTGGATCTTAGATCTGGTAAGGGTTTCGGGAGAAACTTACAGATGTTTATAAATTTTTTTCTTTTTATTTTCTTATTTAATTTTTTTCTCTTTTTTTTATAGATATCGGTTCATGTTCCAAGATCTGGGTTGGAATTGGGTGGCTGTAGATATTGATCCTTCGGCTTGGACTTTAGACGCTAACATTTTGGACTTTCAGCTGGATGGACGTTACTTAGACTTTCTTCTTTCGTATGTCAGCTCTTGGAATAGATTGGTAAGTTTTGAAGCATTTGCTTCAATTCGAAACTTTTTAAATTTATTTTTGTTTTTTTCTATTATTTTGATTTTTTTTAATTTTTTTTTCTTCTTTTTTTGCAGGAATCGAGTTGTCTAAATTCTTGATAATATAATTGGTAAGTTTTGAAAGTAAATTTATTGATTTTTTTTCTTTTTTTTTCAGGTACCGGTAAATTGAGCTTTCCTTTTTTTCTTCTTTTTTTTGCAGGCACCGGTAGATTGAGCTTTCCGAATCCTGAACGGATATGATCGGTAAGTTTCAAAATGTTTCATTTCGTTTCAAAACTTTTTTAAATTCTTTTTGTAATTTTGTTTTAAAGAAACTACTTTTACAGAGATCGTAGCAATGGCTTAATGCGCAGTAACTGCATATATGTAATTTATTTACGATTACATAATGTGGTCACTATGTATTTATAACGTAGTTACTGCGCATTAAGCCATCGCTACGATCTTGTAGTTTCTGTAAAGTAACTGTTTAATCAATTTTGGTCAGCTTCTTGGGTAATATTCGAAACTTAATTAAATTTTTTTTATTTTTTTAAGAAATGTTAACTAACGTTTCTTGTTCCTTTTTTTTTATAGAATCTGGCAGTTTTGTTTTTGCTTCCAATTATCTGAGTGAGTTTCGAAATGTAACTATTTTTTTTATTTTTTTCTTTTAACGAAACGTTTAATAACATTTTGTTCTTTTTTTTGTAGATTTTTCAGCTGCTTGGATCTCCTTGTGTCTATGGGTGAGTTTCAATTTTTCATTGATTTTTTTATCGAAACATTATCATATTAATATTTCGTTCTTTTTTTGTAGTACAAAAAATAATAAAGTAACGCGTCTTGCAAAAACAACAATTTTTTGATTAATTTACGAAAAGATTTTTTACTTTCTCAACATAATAAGAAAATTTAATGCTTTTATCAATTCTCATTTTTTTCTTTTTTATTTATTATATCCAAAATTCATTAAATATGCTATTTCTTTTAGAATTTTGTTTCTTGCGTGAGATTATACTATTATAGAGGTAAGTCTTGAATTTTTATCTTTGGTTAGGCTTTAAACTAACCATTTCTTTATTTTAGATTTTAAAATGTTTTCTTCTTTTAGTAAACGGTAATTTCAGTAGGCTTCTAAGAATACGAAGCGTAAGATTAATATTTTTATTTTTTTCATTGCTTTTTTTTTATTAATAATTGATCAACTTTAACTTTGAACTTACTTTTCTTTTAGATTACTCAATTTTGCGTGCAGTATTTCGATTTGATTTGACTTAGGATTTTTTTTGTAGATACAATTTTGGTTGGATGAACATTTTTCCCGTAACTTCCCGATGTACTGATGTATTTACAAGCGTCGTTAATAAATTAAGTTTATAAGTTTATATCAATATATTTATGGATAAATTAAAAATGTAACAATTGTATAACATCATATTGTATACCGGGTTATCAAAAATATCAGCACGCAACGAAAATCAAAGAAAATGTGTATAACAAAATGACTAGTAAAGACGCTGCGGATAGACATTGCATAAAGCTTATGAATTAACATGAAGTGTTCTACGCTTACGCTTTGGACAATTAACAAAGTCATACATTTTTATTAACTTTGTACTAGTGCGATAACTTTGAAGAATTGTCAGACTCATAGAACTATGTTAAAATTTTATTGATATTTTCCGATAAAACAAATAATAAGGATAATAATACAGTAATAACAATTATCAATAACGATAATGACAAAGAGGGTTATTATATAGTAATTATTCATCTAGAGTGTTCATGACAACTTGCGCTGGAACTATCACTTTCTCGTTAGATTGATTAATATTGGATCCAATTAGGGGAAATGCGCAAATGTCGAATCGTAAATCATCAGTTTCATTTTCGTCCCAAGATGCTTCCATTCTTAATGTATTGATCATTGTACCTTTTGGAAGCCAATCCCAAGTTGCGATAGGTTGTTGTACGTTTAATCTGAAAAAAAATATATTGATAACTTCCCTAATAATCTTATTTATCTCTTCTGTACTTTTTTTCAATCTTTCTGGATTTTTAAATTCTCGATAACGATTCATTAAATTCGAAATATAATCTCGTAATTTCACAATAAATTGATGTTCTTTACTGTCATTTACGTCTTTAAAAGTTTGGGAAAATCCACGATTTCCAAGAATAGCATAAACTTGCTGACGTAATTTAGTTGGAATAGCTTCGCTAACTCTATCAGTTCCGACGCGAATCTTTGTAAATAATTCTGTCATCGTCAACAGTTTATCAGTTGTATTGAAAATTTCTGCTTCTAAATACGGCTGTTGATTCTCGTTATTCTCTGCTTCTAAGTCCAACTGTTGTTTATCTGTTGCATTTGAATTTTTTGTTAAGTTGAAATATGCTTCTGTTTTTTCGATGATGGTCTCAATCACAGCACGTTCTAACACTCCAGAAATCAAGTTTTTGCTTATTTCATTAGTGGGTAAACAATCATATTTTTTCATGAGTTCTTTTAGCTCCCGATTATTAATTTTAACTTCTCTCTTTACATTACAAAAACTTACTAATTTTTCATGTAACTTACGAATATCATCTGATAGCTGGCTGGTGCTATTAGAATCTTGATTTCCTAGATGAAATGATGTTGCATCACCTAATTCCGATTGATATTTGGTGACTTCTTCCCTTAATTCAGTAATTTTGTCTCCTAAATCTTCACACCTTTTTTTATACTCTCCATTTTGCAATTTCAACACTTGATTTTGCGATTTCAAGTTTTCATACTCATTTTCAAACGCTTGATTTTGCGATTTCAAGTTTCCACACTCATTTTCAAACGCTTGATTTTGCGATTTCAAGTTTCCACATTCGTTTTCAAACACTTGATTTTGTATTCTTAACTTTTTACACTCTTCCTCAAGCGCTTGATTTCGCGATAGAATATCGTTCATTAATTCTTCTGATTCATTTCTCCTTGTGCTATTGCAAGAATTAGTGTCGACGGGTCCTAAACGAGATTCATAAGCTTTTTTAATTATTATATAATAATCAACGTTTATTCTTATTGGTCTGACAACTTGCTCAATGACTACTTGTTTGTTGGCTTGAGCTTGGTTTAAAAAATTAGTATAATTTTCCTTATCAATTACATAACACTCCTCGCCTAAAAAATTTAACCGTCCTAAGACTTGACGTTGTGTGAAATTTTGAAGTATTAATTCAACTTGTTGTTCTGGAGTTGGGTCTTTTTGTCGATCGATTTTTAAAATATATTTATCGTAAACTTCTTTATTTATTCCAATATATTCTTCTTTAATTCTTGTTGGTCTAAATTCTTTATTATTAATAATAATATTCCTAAAAAATTTATTATAATTTTCTTTACAAATTAAATAATACCCTTTAGACTTATCAAGTTCATTTACGAGTCCCATAAAATTTTGGATTTGCTGATCGTTTTGAAAATAGCTAGTATATACATCTTTTTTTATTGCGTAATAATCTTCTTGAACAGATATATTATTGCTTATGACTTGTTCCTTGAGTTCCTTGGGAATTCTTTCCGAAATAATATATTTGTAACTTTCTTTATTAATTCCATAAACCTCTGTGTTATTATGATTGATTAATTTTGCATTAAGTCGTTCTACGAATTGTTGGAATCGTAAGTGATTATAAATTTTGTCGTAGGCTTTTTTGTCTATTATATAATATTCCTTATTTATCTTGATTTTTCTTATAATTTGTTCGTCACTTAAACCCTTCCCATAGGCTTCGCCAATTATATAAGTTTCCCCATTAAGACAATTTACTGGACCCAAGATTTGTCGTTGCATGTGTTGTAACTTCCCAGAAGTGATTTGTTGCAGAATGTCATCGTAAATTTCTTTACTTATTACATTATATTCTTCTTTAATCTTTACTTGACCTTCAGGTTGTTGGTTTGAAAGTTTGAAAAAATACTCGTAATTTTCCTTATCAATTATATAGCAATCCTTGTTAAAATAATTTAAATGCCCTATGACTTCTTGCTGCATGAATGATAATTCATCTTGCTGTTCTGGAATTTGTTGACCGTTTATCATGTTTTGCAAAAGATTATAAGTTTCCTCATTCATTTTATAATACTTTTCATGGCGCACTTCCTTTCCTTTATTAAGATCTTGAATTTTCGTTACAAAGTGATTATAATTATCTTCACTAACTAAGTAACTCTCCATACCCTTATAAAGTTTTTCTGATACAATTTTTTGCAGGAGTTTTCGTATTTGTTCATTTTGCATATTAAGATACTTATCATATCTTTTTTTGCTTATTATATAATAAACTTCATTAACCACCAGCTTTGTTTTTTTAATTGCAGGAATTATTTCTAAAATATATTCATAATTTTCTTTACTAATTCCGTAAAACTCTGTGTTATTATAATTTATTGGTCGCACAAGTTGTTGCATGAATTGTTGAAGTTGCTGCTTTATTTTTTGATCATTTTTCAAAAGATACTCTCCGTAAGCTTCTTCACTTATTGCGTAATAAACATCATCAATATATACATATCCCATAACCCTATCTTTAACTTTAATTGAACTAGATAAAGCATAAATCTCTTTATTTTGGTAATTTATTGGACCAAAGACTTGCGTTTGCATACACTGTAAGTCTGAGGTGCTTTGTTGCTGATCGTTTATATATAGTTTGAAAGTTTCATTGCTTATTAGATAATATCTTCTTACGCAATTTAACTTTCCTAAAATTTTATCGGAAGAATGTTTATAATTTTCTTGACTAATTATGTAACACTTTTTATCTAAATATTTTATTGGCCCTAAGACCTGCTTTTGCATGGTTTCGTCAAAGTGTGTGCTTGTATTGCCCATCTTTATGGAAGAAACAACTTAAAAACGAAAATCTGACGCATCTATATATATATGTAATTCCATCAATCAATGCGTGTGATTTTGATTATTAATAAAGTTCATCGTTCTAGCACTTTGTTTAATAACACAGGAAGTACAAATAATACGTGCATTACAGCCTTATAGATTATAATAGATAATCATCAACGGAAATAATAAAAATGGAATTTTGTTTTGATATTTTTTTTGTCACACGTGATATGCATTCCGATTATTTTGGCTGATATTATTGTAGACCTAGATCAGCCCGCATTAAGACGTGGCCAGGCCAGAATTATCAAACATTTTTTACTATAATTGGTAATTTTTATCGGAATAAAATCGGAATTTTTTCCGAATTTTTCGGCCAGGTTTGTCAGCATAAGTAACTAACCATATAAGGATGATTAAAGAAAGCAATTAGTATTGTACACTGTATGTATTCGGAATTATTATTCCTCATAAATAAAGTTTTTTGGGGTTTCATTTGAAATAAGCATTGTGGCTTCATTTGTGTCACGTATGTTATTCGCTAGATATCATTTATAAATAAATGAATAAATAAATATATATACAATACTTTCAGCACATTTACTTATTTCAATAGATAAAATGTCTCATTCAAGAAAAACTCCATTACTAAGCATTCCGATTGAGTTTGAACCTCCTGTAGAGGATATACGTGTAGTTGTTGGAATAGGTAAAAAGCGACACTAACAAAATTTTATCAATGCTTAATAAATAAAATAATCTTTCATATTTTTTTTATTAACCAAACCTTAGATTTTGGTACAACATTTTCGGTAAATTGAGAAATTACTGTTTTTTGATTTTTTTTTTCGCCTCCAATCGACTAACATCACGTTACTTTTCCCGCTAGGGTTTTTCTTATGCTTTCGTTAAACCTGAAAATAGGAAAGTAGATATTGTAGTAAATGATAATTGGCCTGGAATCAAAGGTCCTGCGAAAATTAATACTGTATTACAATACGACGATGACTATGAAGATGTTATCACATGGGGAGCTAATGCGTTAGCCATTGAGCCTTCCAGAAGAGACAAAAATAATAAACAACCACCAAAACCGATCGAATTGTTTAAATTTCATTTAGGAGACGTACCAGAAGAAGAGAAACCCACATTACCGGATGGAATGACTCCTGAGAAAGCGATAACCGACTACCTTCGTGAAATGGGTAATTAACAGTGTTTTCTTACGCTTATGGTATAAAATTGGTTCGAAAATTAATTTTATGACAAATTATTTTTTTTTTCTAGGAAAGGTATGATGATAAAAATAGATATCCTCTTTTCATTCAAATACGTCATGAATAAATTTTTGTAATTTGGATTTGATAGGTGATCCAACAAGAAATTAAACGTTGTTGGCCTGATATTGATTTTTATCGTCACGTACGGATAGTTGTCACTGTACCCGCCGGTAATCTGGTTAATTCTTAAAATGTACTACACATATGCGAAATACTAAATATTATGTTTAGGATTCACTGAGGAGGCTAAAACAACTATGAGACGATGTTTATATGGCGCCGATTTAATTAAGAGGATTGGTACATTATGTCTCCAATTTACCACTGAACGTAAGAAATAAAATTAAACTCCGAAAACCATGCAATTCATCGCCTTATGACATTTGATTTTATTTTATAGCGGAAGCCGCAGCGATTTATTGTATGAGTACATTAGAAGAACATGGATTAACAACTGGAGGTATATACCATTAAGCAGGGTTTAGAAAATGTTTTCGTACAGTTCCTCCTTAATCAGATGTGCAATCCAGGAGAAGAGAAACAGAACTGTACGAATGTTTCGTCGTTTTCGCAACCCTGCCATTAAGCTTCTTTTATTGTTACCTTATTTTGTTATTAATTTTCTAAATAATACGGCTTAATTAGCAAAATATTTGATTGTCGATTGTGGAGGGGGAACAGTAGATTTAACCGTTAGAAAGTTATTATCAGAAAGCCGATTAAGAGAGATGACAATGAGTACATGTGGATATCACGGTGGATCCTACGTAGATAAAAATTTTCTAGAATTTTTTGAGAGTAAAGTAGGTAAATCTGCTATGGACATGTTAAAGAAAAACCACTACAGTCAGGTCAATTATTTGGTGCAACAATTTTGCTTTCAAGTTAAAATACCATTCACTGGAGATAAAGCCGAATTCAAAACTTACGAATTAGATATTGATAGAAAATGCCCGGCTGTCAAGAAATACGTCGACGGAACGCAAAGAGATGAATTAGTTGTAAATGATTGGATTATTGATCTTGATTTTGAAACTGTAAAATCGTTTTTTGATAAGGTGATCGAGTCGATCTTGACTTTAATTGAGCAACAGTTGAAAAAATGTACGAGTTGTTCAGTAATGTTTTTGGTTGGAGGATTTAGTGAGTCTAAATATTTTCAATCCAGAGTTAAACAAAATTTCGAAAACCAAATTAAAATAGCAGGTATGTTTATTGTTTGTTGGTTAATAAAAAAAAGAGACGAAACATTCAATTTGTTTTAAATTTGTCACAGTCCCACCTCGTCCAGTTATTGCAGTTGTAAATGGTGCATGCGAATATGGGCTTAATATGAAGTCCATAAGCACGAGAGTATTAAAATGGACATATGGAGTCGAAATTGCACCTAAATGGGTGAGCAGCAATAACGTAAAAAAAAAAAAATCAAAATAATATGTTAATTTTTTTTTTTTTGGAATTTCAGCAAGCCAGTGATCCACCTGATCGTAAAATGTCGAATGGTCGAATCAAAAAATTTAGTTTAATAGTTAAGAAAGGGACAGAAGTGAATGCAACCGATGAATATTCGCAGAGTTTTAGTCCACCAGAACCAGATGCTACTACACTAAAATTCACCATCTATTATACTTCCAAAGATGATGCAACATATTGTGATGAACCTGAAATGAATTCATTGGGTAGTTTCAATATTGAACTGCCTGATCCTCACTTAGGAATGAATCGCCCTGTTTTATTGACACTATGTTTCGGTTCTATGGAAATTGTTGCAACAGCAAAAAATCAAACGACTGACGAAGATTATCGTACGACGTTTTCTAGTGCGGAAATTTAGATAATTTATCAATATCAACTATGTTATATATAGCGAATAAAAATGTTATTTATAAATATAATAATAACAATGTATAATTAAATTATTTTTTTAAAAAAAAGAACTTCATCTTCAGTTCACGCACGTTAGTATAATAAATTTACGATTTCATTTTTCTGAACATTCTATTGAATGAATCTCAAACTTCGTTAAAGTTACGTGCTATTTATTTATATAAAATGTGCCAAATGTGAAATATCTCGATAAACGACTATACTGCTAAATTCATTATATAAATTACCTGTTATTTTAACGAACTTTCAATCATTTTTCGTATATTCTTAATTTTATTAAAATGAAGTATAACTATGGAAGTAAATCGGAAATACTACGCCATCGATATTGCTTTATTTTTTTTTCTTCAATGCTAATGTCAGTAACTTACGTTATAGGTTTGAAATTTGAAATTTTTTTGCATGCGAAACTTAAAATCTTTTATATTTAGTGATAGAAATTAAATAATTAGATGTAAAAATTTACAGAAGCAAAGAAGTAACTGGGCGTGATGCTGAGACCCGCATTACTCCCTCCTTCATCAGTTCGCGGAATCATACATTTCAACATTTCATTCGATAATCTTGGGTTAGATGTATGATTTTTCATTTGATATGCAATTATACATTTTAAATGCAAAACATCGGAATCATGTAACACAAAATATTATCTAAGCTTGATAAAAGCATGTTTTCATATGAGTGACCTAAACAAAACCAGATGTAAATCTTTTCTTTTTTAATAATTCCCGGTGATTGAGTGATTGAGTGAAATGGTCACCTATAAAAGGAATTATTTCAACCTTATTTACGTTTAAAAACTCCGAAATTTCTTTTGGTTTATATACGTGCAGTACGTTCGATACATTTATTATTAGTACATAAAATTTTCTCCCACAAAAAAATGATTCCAATTGAGTATGAACCTCCGGTAGAGGATGCACGTGTAGTTATTGGGATAGGTAAAATCCAAGCAATATCTTAGTTATTTATTATTATTAGCAAAATTTATTATTTTTATTAATAAATCGTCTTTTTCATTCTTAGATTTTGGCACAACATTTTCGGTAATTTTTTTAAGCTATCGTTTGTCAATATCCGAATAACTAGTAATGATAACGTCACAATCGTCACATTCTTTTACTAGGGTTTTTCTTTCGCCTATATTAAACCCGAAAAGGAGAAAATAGAAATTGTAGTGAACGATAATTGGCTGGGAATTAAAGGTCCTATGAAAACAAATACCGTATTGCAATATGACGAAGACTATGAAGACGTTATTGCATGGGGAGCTAAGGCACTAGCTGGCGAACCTTCCAAAAAAGCTAAGAATAATCAACCAAGACCGGTTGAGTTGTTTAAACTTCATTTAGGTGACGTCCCGGAAAGCAAAAAGCCTAAATTACCGGATGGAATTACTCCTGAGAGAGCAATAACTGATTATCTTCGTGAAATGGGTAATTAACTGTGTATCCTTCGGCTTTTATGCTCACTGATTTTTTGGGTCCAAAAATTAATTGCGTGGCGAAAATTATTATTATTATTATTATTATTTAGGAAAGGTATAACGATAAAATACATTGTACTTCTCATCCAGTTATATAGAACAAGTTACCAGTTGGTTTTGTGATTTCGTAGGTTATAAAAGATGAAATCAAACGTTGTTGGTCTAATGTTGATTTTTACCATCACGTGCGAATTATTGTTACCGTGCCTTCTGGTAAGTTTATAAAAACGTACTGTATATATGCAAATATTAAAAATTATTATTTTAGGATTCTCTGAGAAAACAAAGTCAATAATGAGAAAATGCTTATTTGATGCCGGATTGATCAAAAGGATTGGTACACTAGGTCTTCAGTTTACCACCGAACGTAAGAATAAATACTGTGTAATTCATTTTCATGTGATATTTTGATAATACTCGGTTTGATTTTATAGCGGAAGCAGCAGCGATTCATTGTATGAGTATATTAAAGGAACACGGGTTATCAACTGGAGGTATATATTATTAAGCCTTTTTTAGTTCATTTTTATAACCTTACAAATAATTATATTATTTTATATTTAGCCAAATACTTAATTGTTGATTGTGGTGGAGGGACCGTGGATTTAACCGTTAGGAAATTATTACCAGATAATAAGTTAGGAGAAACGACTATGAGATCAGAAGATTTTTGCGGTGGATCCTATGTAGATGATAAATTTCTAGAATTTCTTGAAAAGAAAGTAAGTAAATCTGCGATGAACGAGCTAAAAGAGAAAAACTACGGCCAGGTCAATTATATGGTACAGCAATTCTGTTTTCATGTTAAAATTCCATTCACTGGCGAAGAGTCCGACTTCGGAACTTTTGAGTGGGACATTGAGAGAAAGTGTCCGGCTCTTAAGAAATATGTTACCGGATCTGAAAAAAATAAACTGCGTGAGGATGATTGGATTATTGATCTCGATTTTAAGACAGTAAAAGGGTTTTTTGATCCAGTGATCGATAAGATTTTGAAATTGATTAAGGACCAGTTGAAGAAATGTCCGGATTGTTCAATGATGTATTTGGTCGGAGGTTTTAGCGAATCGAAATATCTTCAAACTAGAGTTAAACAAGCATTCGAACACAAAATCAAAATAGCAGGTATGTTCGTTGTCTGTTGGTAGTTGATAAAAAGGAGAGCGAGTACATTCAATTTATGCTTAAACGTTCTTCATTACAGTCCCACCTCGTCCGGTTATTGCGGTTGTAAGTGGTGCGTGTGAATATGGACTTGATACAAAAGCAGTGAGCACTAGAGTATTGAAATGGACATATGGAGTTCTAATTTCGCCTAAATGGGTAAGCGTCAATAAAATAAAAAAGCAAAGAGTCTAGCAAGAGTACAGCATTAATTTTTATTTTTAATACTAGCAACCTGGTGATCCACCATCTCGTAAAGATAGCAATGGTAGAATCGACAAATTTTTTTTAATGGCCGAGAAAGAAGTACAGGTGGATGTAGACAAAGAATTTTCTGAGCGTTTATATCCGTCTTATCCAAATCAAACCTCCATAGACTTCTGCATTTATTACACTTCCAAATATAGTGCAACATATTGTGATGAGCCCGAGATGAATTTCTTGGGTAAGTTCAATGTTGATCTACCCGACGTTCACTTGGGAACAAATCGTCCCGTGATGCTGACTCTACGTTTCGGATCCATGGAAATTTTTTTAAAAGCGACGAATGAAACTAATCGTAAAGTTTATCGCACAACATTCTGTAGCACAGAATGATTTCGTATACTTAATATAATGTATAATTTATTATAATATATATATGCATTGAATTATTTTTGTATATTAAAATTATAAAAAGAAATTAAGTAATTACTATGAAAAGTTTAATTGGTTATTTTTCCTAACAAATATAATATTTGACAGTGTTTCATCACGGCAGATTTATGAAATACCCAAAATTTGTCCGTCATGTCCGTCATGTCACCAAATTTAAATATTGATCACCAAATTTTGGCGAATTTACTAATGAACAGTGTAAGACCTGCGCCCGTAGTAAACTACGTTGCCACCGCAGTCTTAACAAAAAACGATGTTTTATTAATAATATGATAAATTACACAAATATGATATAATGATTGGTTTAATATAATGTAATAAAAAAAATAAAAATAGAATTCTGGAAGTGCTTTTTCCTTAATCGAATTTATCCCCTATTTATATAATAAAATAAATTCCCAAAATATTTCCTAAGATTTTTCCCTTTTTCCTTTTTGATGTTTTTCAATTAGGACTTTCTCACATTTACCCTTAATTAGTTAATAGATCTTTTTCTCATCATCATTAGAATTTCAAAAATTTCATTTTTCGTTTTTCGTAAAAATTAGTTTTTCAAGATTTTTAACCTCTGACCTTTTTCCTCATTTCTTATGTCGATAAACATAATAATTCCCATTTCTAAAAATATATATCCTATTAAATTCAACTTGATAGTAACGTTATTTTGGACCGCAGTTAATCCTTTTAATATGGTCTTTCCGGACCGCAGTTGATAAAAATACACAAACTAACTATAATACTGCATCCCACAATTAATAAATTCCTTAGGTAAATTACGGCATTACAATAGGGATTGGAATCGATTAATCGCAAATCGACAAAACATAGTAAAATCGATTCTCGAGAATCGATTCTCAGCATTTTTTTACATATAAGTTAACCTGACTCTAAAGTAATTTTTCATGCCGGCCAAGTGCTGATTATTTTTGCTGAAATTAGAAACTGATTCAAAGTCAGATTGGTCGTCTATAAGAAAAATCTTGAAAAGATTCGATTTTCGATTCCAATCCCTACATTACAACAGTCAAAATAAACCCGGAAAGTTTTTTTGTATACCAAATCTTTCTATGTATTGAGGATGCGTCATTATTTGACATTTTTTTTATGCAAATTCGTATATTGCCTCAATATGGAAAAAACTTAATCAATATCATAATCAATTTAATTCCCGAGGGTGCAACAGGGGATTTTTGCTTATTCATAAATCCGCCGCAATGTTGTCCTTAAAAATGGAATTTATAGCTTTAATTAAATTTCGTGCCCGTATCTTTTTTGGTGACATGGCATGACAAGAACATTAAATTGATAATCATGAATTTCAAATCTTAAACTGAAAAAAGGTATGTATTTTTTTTCATTTTGCAAAGAACGGTAACTTAAGACGAATCACATTTAAATTGTGAATATTTAATAATAGACGGAAGGAGTATCTCGGTTTTCAATGGACAATTTTTTTGATATGTTAAATGGGTGATAATCCAATTTTTTTGTATTTGGATTTATCTTTAGATACCCCTCATCGTCAAAATATGGCCGTTTTTCTAAAGCTTTATCAATAGAAGTAGCACCAACACCATCATGAGTGTTCAACAACCTATTTCTATATCAAAAGTTGGGATTGGTCTCCTTGATAATGGCAAATTTTGCCCGTGGGGAAAACGGATTCAAAATGTTTTTAAAATTTTCTTTCGAAATGATTATAACACCTTCTCTTGGTACCCCATCATATGGTTGTGAAGTGAACATAATTGTAACAGGTATATAAGTACAATCATTAATAAATTTATGAAAACCTTCTAAATTAAAAGTGAAAGGAGATAAAACGGAATAAAAAGGAACAAAGGAATAAATAAAAGAAAAGGGACAAAAAAAAGATAGGGAATAATAGAGGAACGAAAAAAAAATAGAGGGAATAAAAGAAAGTCACTATCTATAAAGAAAGAAAAGAAACTTGTTAAACTTGTTAATATTGTTTTAAAAATAAAAAGAATATAACATAATAAGACGGAAGGAAGACTCACCTTATTCTCAATACGAAACTTTTATTAATTTCATATCTGAAGAAGGAAGTGAAGTTAGCAAGACAAAAGAACGTGAAAAATAGGTAAATAACAATAAATTGACAACTACCTTAAGAACTTTAGAAATAGCATTACAGGAAACTTCAGGGCCAAGAAAAAAGATACTGTATTTTCACTTAACGTCAATTAACAAAAAAACATATATGACGTTAAAAAGACTTACTGGAAGTTCTTAAGCTGAAAGGAACTACCTACAAAGAAATAAAAGGTTAGTTAACGTTAATTAATAAAAAATATATATATATTATCTGTGAAAAATAATTCACGTCTAAAAAAAGAATTTCTGATAAACAAATAAACATTAATAACTTTCCATTTTTTTATTATTTTTCTTTTTTTAAAAAAAAATAGATTACGGCCTGACTAACTGAAGGATGAATAAAGGAATAAGGTAAGTAGTTTGTGAGTTAGAGTAGTGGTTAGGGGATTAGAGTATGTTAATTTACTAACGTTCTTTTCTTTTTTTTTCTTGTAGATATCTTTCTAGACGCGGATTTTGACTTTGAACTCCAGTATGGAAAGGTGTAGGTGGGAATTGTGATTTGAGAACGTTAGATCTATATTAACATTTCTTTCTTTTTTTTTCTTATAGGTACTAATATCTTTCTGGACTTTGGACTTCAGTCGGTATGAAAAGGTGTGAGTGGGAATTATGATTTAGTAAGACGATCCTTTCTTTTTCTCGTGGGTAACTTTCTGGACTAGAATATGAACTTTAGACTCTCATGTGAGTAGGCTTTATGGTTTGGGAACGTTAGTAAGTTTTATGATTAACAATTAGAGGTGACCTTTCTCTCATAATTTGCTGAATTTATTTTCTTTGATATTTTTGTAATTTTATAGTTCTTTATAAAGATTTTAAAGTTTTTATTTAAATTGAATAAATTATAATAAATACATTAATGAGTTTAAAATTACATAATAGGGTGGCATTGTTATGTTAGGTGTACAAAAAACTGTATAAATGTTTATGATTATTAAGATTATATTCTACATTTTGTTTTATTGAAGTATACTCCCTTTTTAATCATAAATCATTATATGAATGAGAAATAAATTTTTTTATTAGTGAAACGGTTTTTTTCGTCTATTTCATTTAAAACTTATAAGTTTTACGAACGTAGATTTATTGATTTAACATAACATGTTATATAATCACAAGTCCGTTTATCAGATGATTTTCTGGTAATTTTGCGCAATGAAAATTATAAGACTTTTTTCTTAACGCAAAGTAATCAAATCCGCCGATATGACCAAAATTTTTTGTAATTTTTGATAAAAATCAAATTTCATGTCTTTCTCAAAAATTATTAAATTGTATTAAATGTGTAATTAAGTGTACTTAAAAACGCAAAATATATATATTCATAAATTAAAGAATTACGCATAATCAGAAAGAAAGGAAGCAGGGTTAGGATCATCCCAAAAAGAAATTGAGATGACGTTAGTGTATCAATGGAAGAAAATGAATGAGTTAACACGAGATAGTATAGAAATATTTCCTTCGCTTCGCTCAAGAAAATTACCGTTATTAAATTTTTTCCAAATATCCAAATGTCCAACGTATACTTTTGCATCATTCCTATGGATTGACTGACATGACATACATCTACTTTATTTACTAAGAATTGAATCAATTTAATGTACTCACTTCAGACATAAAATGAAAAGATCTTTTCAATTATGTGCATACTAAACTTTATTATAATCCTTTTTAAATTTTAATGGAAATTTTGCTTAAAAAATTATTTTTAAAAGTCAGAAATAAATAGTTTAGCAAAAAAATTTATTAGCCTGAAGCCATGAAAAATTAAATATTGTATAATGTTTATTGATTATTAGTTATATTAGTAAACGAATATTGAATATTTTAAAAAGGTTATTAATAATTTTCTTTTAAATAAAATAAAGCCAAAACAATGAAAAAGTGTGTAAAAATTAAAATAACAAATTAGAATGCACCTATTTATGAACTATGCGGTACTGCGTTAACGAACTTGTGTCGCGCCTTAATTTTTACCAAGTATTTTTTCATTGCTTAACGTATCACAATATCACATGCTAATGATTTATTTTTTTTTTTCATAGAATTATTAATTGTATTAAATACATAAATATATTATGCATATTGTGTATTCAAAAAATAAGTAAAATAAATCGCTTTAGTTTATTAGGTTAGTTAGAGTCGAAGAAAAATTTTCGTATATTTAAATTTTTGACTCGATTTTTTTCACGTGAATTTTACACGTGATTCACATAAGTAATTTATAATTTTTGCTTTATTTGATAACAACTACTATATTTATTACATTATTACATTAACATATTTTCCATATTGCATTACAGTCTCCCATGTTTTCCTTTTCACTTAGTCTTGTATGACTAAAAATTCAGTGATATTCTTATGATCTTATCCCATAACTCTCGTCCTAACCACATCTTGATAAAATTCATCAATATTCATATTTTCAAGTCCTTCCCAGCCAAAAACTGATTTGGAATGATATTCTACATTTACAATAAATTGTTACCATGCTTAGAAAAAGGTTTTCGCTATGTATTTAAACGATCTGATGATTTGTATCAATTTATTTCGTGATACCAATTGTATATACAATAAAAAAAATACATTAAAAAAAAGCCGCCCCCGTATCATTTTTAAAATTTTATTTTACGAGAATTTAAAAATTTTTTTTGTCCGATCTTAATTGGAAAACATATTTTATTATTACTCGAGGTATTTCATCAATCAAATATGAATTAAGAAATATATGTTTATATGTATTACTGTAAATTGTAAATATTCCCATTTTTTAAAAATGCCAATTAAAATTTTTGAACCAATTTTGTCTAACGTTTTAGACATTTAAATCTTTGGTCCTTATAAAAATAATCATTTAATGTTATAACTAATATTCTCCAAATCTCAAGTTATCCTATCATACCAGTGTCTTTAAAATCAAGCATTTAAAATATGTGACTTAACCATTATGTTCTAAAAAGTTGTTTCTCATATACAGTAATTATAATTAGTATGATACAAAAATGAATAAAAAATTTTACAATTATTAATAAATATGCTCTCTTGAAAAGATTCTAACGTTTCTTGATAAATACATAAAATAAGAAAAAAAGTGGAGCCGATTTATACCATGTGATCAATTATTTTTTTTTCACTCGTAATTTACTCGATTTTAAGGGATTTTACACGTGATTTTTTATGACACTCTCATGTTTCAATTGTTTCATCTTTTTCTTAAAAAGATCTATCTAATTAAAAAAGATTTTTTTATGATGACATTTTCGTGATAAATAGCGTAAGTGAAGACTATCTTATGGCAAGCGGTAGTGGTCAAAAGTGCGTAGCAAAACATAGCGTGTACACGCTACAAAACATAGCGTATACACGTTATATTTCACGGCGGGTTACCCCTGTTCTGTTGGGTTAACCTGTCAATTTCAGGGGTAACCCGCCATAAAAAGCAACGTGTATACGCTACATAATTTAAGCTTTATATTATAACGGTTTATTAATTTATTTTGGACCAAATTTTAAATTATTAAGGGATCGAATACCTGCCGTTTCAAATATCAGGTACCCGCCATTCTACATATCAGGTACCCGCCGCTTCACATATCAGGTACCTGCCGCTTCACATATCGGGTACCCGCCGTTTCACATATCGGGTACCCGCCATTTTATACCTGCCATTTAATTTTTTTTAAAAAAAAATTTTTTTTTTTTTTTTTGGCTTTTTTTTATAAACAAATTTTGTAGAGAATTTTTATTTTTAATATAGGCAAAGGCCTGTCTCTTATACACATCTAGATGTGTATAAGAGACAGATGTTATATAATCACAAGTCCGTTTATCAGATGATTTTCTGGTAATTTTGCGCAATGAAAATTATAAGACTTTTTTCTTAACGCAAAGTAATCAAATCCGCCGATATGACCAAAATTTTTTGTAATTTTTGATAAAAATCAAATTTCATGTCTTTCTCAAAAATTATTAAATTGTATTAAATGTGTAATTAAGTGTACTTAAAAACGCAAAATATATATATTCATAAATTAAAGAATTACGCATAATCAGAAAGAAAGGAAGCAGGGTTAGGATCATCCCAAAAAGAAATTGAGATGACGTTAGTGTATCAATGGAAGAAAATGAATGAGTTAACACGAGATAGTATAGAAATATTTCCTTCGCTTCGCTCAAGAAAATTACCGTTATTAAATTTTTTCCAAATATCCAAATGTCCAACGTATACTTTTGCATCATTCCTATGGATTGACTGACATGACATACATCTACTTTATTTACTAAGAATTGAATCAATTTAATGTACTCACTTCAGACATAAAATGAAAAGATCTTTTCAATTATGTGCATACTAAACTTTATTATAATCCTTTTTAAATTTTAATGGAAATTTTGCTTAAAAAATTATTTTTAAAAGTCAGAAATAAATAGTTTAGCAAAAAAATTTATTAGCCTGAAGCCATGAAAAATTAAATATTGTATAATGTTTATTGATTATTAGTTATATTAGTAAACGAATATTGAATATTTTAAAAAGGTTATTAATAATTTTCTTTTAAATAAAATAAAGCCAAAACAATGAAAAAGTGTGTAAAAATTAAAATAACAAATTAGAATGCACCTATTTATGAACTATGCGGTACTGCGTTAACGAACTTGTGTCGCGCCTTAATTTTTACCAAGTATTTTTTCATTGCTTAACGTATCACAATATCACATGCTAATGATTTATTTTTTTTTTTCATAGAATTATTAATTGTATTAAATACATAAATATATTATGCATATTGTGTATTCAAAAAATAAGTAAAATAAATCGCTTTAGTTTATTAGGTTAGTTAGAGTCGAAGAAAAATTTTCGTATATTTAAATTTTTGACTCGATTTTTTTCACGTGAATTTTACACGTGATTCACATAAGTAATTTATAATTTTTGCTTTATTTGATAACAACTACTATATTTATTACATTATTACATTAACATATTTTCCATATTGCATTACAGTCTCCCATGTTTTCCTTTTCACTTAGTCTTGTATGACTAAAAATTCAGTGATATTCTTATGATCTTATCCCATAACTCTCGTCCTAACCACATCTTGATAAAATTCATCAATATTCATATTTTCAAGTCCTTCCCAGCCAAAAACTGATTTGGAATGATATTCTACATTTACAATAAATTGTTACCATGCTTAGAAAAAGGTTTTCGCTATGTATTTAAACGATCTGATGATTTGTATCAATTTATTTCGTGATACCAATTGTATATACAATAAAAAAAATACATTAAAAAAAAGCCGCCCCCGTATCATTTTTAAAATTTTATTTTACGAGAATTTAAAAATTTTTTTTGTCCGATCTTAATTGGAAAACATATTTTATTATTACTCGAGGTATTTCATCAATCAAATATGAATTAAGAANGCCATTCCATATAACAGGTACCCGCCGTTTCTTATAACGGGTACCCGTCATAACATATAACGTATATAACGCTATGAAATATAGCGTATTAAACGCTATTTTTTGCAACAGGTTACCCCTGAAACAGACAGAACAGGGGTAACCCACCGTGAAATATAACGTATATGCGCTACAAAACATAGCGTATACACGCTATGTTTTGCTACGCACTTTTGACCATGGCGGCTTTCCATACTATCTAGACCTCTCCATTTTTAGCTTACATGTCGATCAACAACGCCTTCACTTGTGGCTAAACTAAATTCTATATATTTGAGTATACTATTAATTATATTAATTGGTATAAAGCTTATAAATAAACCAAGATATATATAGATAAGTCAACAATAAAAATGTAAAGGCGTAAATTTTGAAAAAATGAAAACAAATATCGTAAAATTATTGGAAAATCGTAAAATTATAATATGATCATTTGAACCACCAAACGATTAAAGATAATGAAAAATGAAAATGACCTTGAAATTGTAAAAGTACCAATATCTTAAAATAATCTAGAAATAATGAATGATTAATTATACAGAAATAACAAGAAAACATTTAAAAACAAAAATATCTAAATTTTTTCTTTTCAAGCCTCAGAGTCATATATGAATGTGTTCTTACAGGTATTATTTAACTATTTGCATTACAGATCTAGGGCTGCAATAATTTTTTCAACTAGAATTTATACTTCCACTATTAACATTAGCTTGATGAGGAATATCAACTGGTTCAAATAAATAAGTAAAAATTAACCAAAAAATTTCATTATATAATACAAAACATATAATGTATATTACCTGATATTTCTAAGTCAAATAATTGTGAATCTTGACAATCTATTAAAGAAACAAAATGAGCAATTATGGAATAAAATAAATAATAAATTTTTTAAATATACTACCTTCATTATCATCAAGATATGAAGTAATAATAGATGAATTAACAGGTTTTGGTAAATTGTTAAATGTGAATACTCTACTAGTATATATTGCATCAGAATTTTTTTTATATGAAGTAGAAATATTTGGTATTTCTTTATCAGCTTCTTCAAATATAGCCTTAATCTCTTTTTCTTTATAACCAAAATTTTCTTTTTCTTGGTAATATTCATCAAAAGAATTATTCCAAAAACTTATTATATCATATAATTCTACAGCTGTTGGTCTTTGATTTGAATTAGCATTCATACATTTATATGCTAGTTTTTTATAAATTTCAGGAGTTCCTTTTCCAAATTCTGGTCTGAATCCATTACATATTTCTAATGCTAAGCTAATATCATGTTTTCTTTCATAAAAAGGTGGTTTTCCAGAAGATAATTCAGCCATAATTACGCCAAAACTATAAATATCTGAAGATAATGTATATGGTTCTTTATTCAAAACTTCTGGGGCAATATATGGTAGTACTCCACATATTTTATTATTATCTGATTTCTGTTTATTTGATGATCCTGATAATCCAAAATCTGATATGTGGGATTCGTTATTAACTTGTAATATATTTCCACTATGAAAATCTTTATGAAAATACCCTAAATCATGTAAATCATCAAGGTTACTTATTATCCAAAACAAATACTTAATTTTATCCTTCCATAAAATTTTATTGAAATTACTTGAAAGAAAACTTCTCAAATTTCCTTGATTTGCAAAATCTAAAATCATGATAAATTCTTCAGTTTCAGGATCTTTAGTTATTCCATAAAATTGTAATGTTCTTATAGTGTTTGTACAATGTTTCCGATGTATTTTAAGCTTTCATTTAAGTAAAATTAAGTAAATTAGCATGTCATTAACAATACATATATGTTTATCTTATTAATTAAACATACCTCATTTAAATAGTACTCAGCTGACATATTTTGTGATCCATTTAACCTTTTCAAAGCAACTTTCATAGGTTCAGGTTCTTCCTTTTTCCAACTTCCATCATCTTGTTTGTCATATTCTGTTTTACCATCAATCCATGTTGCAGAATATACTTTTGCAAATCCACCTTCACCAATTTGTTTTACGTCTTCAAATCTATCAAATGGTACCCATTCAATAAATTCACTGCCACTATTTCTTGCATCATAAATTGTGTCTTTTATAAATTTATCAATATCATTATTTCCACTAGTCCAACCTTCAATCATTCTAAATGGATCACATTCTTTACACCATAATTCTTTGGTAAATGATTTATTGCAATAAGAACAATTTTTATGGCTGATGCTTTCCAAATTAGAATCTTTATTAGAATCTTCATCAGAGATATTTAATTTATTAAATTCAGTTTCCATTGCATTGTAACTAAAACTTCATTTCTTTTGTCCAAGTTTAATTTTTTTTTATATTGTGAATTTGTTGGCGTTATTTGCGTTACTTTATATTGTGCAGTGCTTGTCAATAAGGATAAAAAAGGAATTAAAATTCCAAAATTAGAATATCACTATTATAGCAACAATTTATGTTGATCGTATTTGTCATTAAATATTCAATTGACTACTTAATAATAATTCTTGTTAATTTTCTCACAAGTAAAAATTTCACCAGATGATACTTTCATGCTGGCAACTTTGAGAATAAAAGTGTTATTATTTATTTATTTATCATTTTATTCTACTATAGTTAAGAAATAAATAAAAAAAAAAAAACTTTGTGCGACAAAATTAAATCGGCAGTTAAATGTAGAATATATATTAGCATAACTTAAACATATGATATTATTAATCACAAAAATAACTGCGGCACATAATAGATTTTGAAATATCATAACAAATTTTTTATGGGAGACCTCATTGTAACAAAAAATATCATTGTTACATTTCGTTTTCCGTGATTAAATGTCTACAATTTTATACTGTTTATCTTTTCGCGGTTCTTCCTTTACAATTTATCCAATATTTGAGCTTAATATTTATCAAAGATAAATTAATAATAAATATTAAGAATAAATATAAGAATTAAATAATTTATGTAGTAGTAGATTTATATTAAAAAATAAAATGATAAAAGAAACGAATTTTTTTAATTTTTATAAATTTATTTGTTTAATAAACTAACAAGTTAACAGTAAACGTTCAAGAGGGATCTCTTATTTTTTGAATTAAATTTAATATAAAGCATTTACTTAAGTTGATTAATAAAAATTTTTGAATGTTTCGCGTAATATAAATTGTAATTTTATATACATTCAAATTTTATTTTTATTATGTGGTTTTAAAATTATTGTAATTGAGGATTTGAGGTATACCTTATAATACACAACACACAAGATCAGCAATCATATGATATATATGTGTAATTTTTATATATTGAATCGAACACGTTAAAATTTTATCATAATATTTGAATAATTTATAAAAAATTAAATAAAGTATTAACTTGATGATCTTTAAAACTTTATATTTATGATTGTTCATGATAATATTTTCGAAATATAAATTTATCCTAGCCGGTAAAGCACTGTTACATATACGGATCTTTGTATTTGAATAGAGGTACACAAAAGCTTTAATTCTGGCCGGAATTATAAACTTGGCCAGAGTTACCGCTGCCATTGGAATTGCTTTTTCCGCAGATTTAATGGGCGCAATCGATAGAAATGATTAATCGGAATCAAGAATCGAATTTAAAGTCGAAATTTGAGAAACGATTAATCACGATTAATGATTCTAAAATCGATTCTATGATTCGTTAACGTTAACGTTAAGTCTTTAACATAACGTTAACAATAAATTTGTTCTCATCTGGTTTCATTTTTTGGGTGCTGATCATCATTTAGTCATGCTTAATACATTTTCCGTTGTTTAAAAATTGAATAATAAATTGTACCCCTTTAGAAACAAACTAATGCTTTCAATTACTTAATTTTTTGTTTAATTGTTCCAAAGGAAATTCTGAGGCTTGATTTGGTTTCACAAGTAACATTTGATTTATAACATAATTTCTCAAAAGTATTTAGAAAAATAATTACGTATTATTCAAAATAATGTACAAACAATTTGTTCTTGAGTAACTACTAAGTAAATGTTTGAAATTATATAAATCAAGTTAAAAATAAAATATTCGCTCTAATAGCTAAACTTAATTTTATTTATATCACAAGTTATAAATAATATTGTTTTATAATTATAATAATGAAATATATTATTACTATTTAATACCCAAGATTTTTTTAAATATCAAGAACCCTTTTTCTATATTTAAGATTTATCTATACATTATTCTTTTACTGTTATTTATTATACATCATATTTTACATATATATAGTTTACTAATTGATATCAAGAAAATGAATCAAACACATCAGTGATTTTTTACTATTTATTCACATAGTTCAAAATGAAGAAAAAATTATTAGTTAAAATATTAACAATATTAACTCAAGCATCTTGAATTTATAAATGATCTTTTTGATCAAATTATTTAATTAAAATAAAAAATCTTTTTTTTTGTTAATTACAATTTGGCCTTATATATTTCAGTTATTCTAATATTATTCTAATAAAGATATTTGGCTTTAATATAAAGAATATAATACGACTATTTAAGTACAATATAATGAATATATTGGTTAAAAAATAACCAATATTAAACAACATTTACATATTTCTTTTTGAAATTTCTGATATCTGTTGAATAATCATAAAACATGCAACATCCTATGAAATACCCAAAATAGCGTTGTCGATTTATCTTTATCCATTAGAATTATTTTTTTTTTTGGAATTGAATTTGTGAAGATGATGCGATTTCAAATTTTCATTAATCGACAAATGTGATATTGTGATAAATGATCTGCAAATAATTTCTAATTACGCGACGTCGTGACAACTCTGAATGGGTAATTATAACGTGATTGAATTGTGATTTATTGTTGTCACAATACAATATGGAAATAAATAAATAAATACTCGTAACAAATTTATTACTGTACTTCAACTATCAAGAACGCGAATATCATTTCCTGAATCTATCTATATGTTTTACAATTTATGAATGAAAAAATAATAAATGTTCTAAACTATAGTAATACATCATTTAGGCCACACAAATTCGATTTTTCGGTTCACGTAACATTGAAATTTAAAATCGACCCGGGGACCCGGGGTTTATATTTTACTATTAAAAAAATTTTATATGTAAAACCGTGACTTCTGATTGGCCAATTTTAATGTGATTATCGTAATTAATTGCCCCTTTAAAGATAATCAATTTTTTTTTTCACTCTTAAGTTTTTTTTTAAAGCCAAGATGCCTATTATACATATGCGAGTAAGTTACAAATCTATAATTTTGAAAGATTGGGAAGGATTACCTGTTGAAAAAGAAAAAAAAATAAAAGATTTTTTTGGAGATATATCGATCTTATATTTATCACCCGATTGGTGGGATGCAGAGTTTGAAGTGAAGTTTAGTCCATCAAAAACATCAGTTGGAGAAAAAATTTCAGCACAATGCATTGCTTGGGAAGCTTCACTTCAATATGGAATTTATGCACATTTTTATCTCATATCACAGGAAATGATATCTCATAGGATTTCTAATCCTATTAATGCTTTTGATATTTTAAAAGCTAGTTCAAATGATCTGTTTGTTCCAGAATTTAACGACTCTCCAAGGAATGCATTGGAAAAGTTGCGATTAGATTTATCTAATTGGGTTAAAAATAATGGTGGCGGATGGAAAGGAAAGGATGCTGCAGATAGTATTGGAAAAAAATTCATAACAGATTTGGCAAGTGCGCTATGGTACGTCGATAGTCGTTCTGAAGAAACATTGGATCAAAAGTTTAAGATTCCTGTAACTTTTTATGAATTTTTTGGAAGATCATTTCCAGAAAACTATAAAAGCTCAAGACCAAAATTTAGTTATGAAGAATTAACTCAACAAAGCAAAAAAATACTTAATTATGTTGAATTAAATTGGATGCAACAAAGTAGGTTTAACTGGCTAAAAGAATCTTTAGCTAAATTTGGTGAAATCCTGGCTAAATATTCAGAATATTTAGAACATCAACAAATTCGAAGTAAGGAAATAAAAAATTCATTAATTCCTATAGTTGACGAAATGGAAGCAGGATCTATGGAAATTTATTCAGCAAATATTTGGCGTAATCCAGCAAATATAAATAAATATTGTTCTTTAACTAATAAATTAGAAGAAGTAGAATTTTGGGAGCCTGTTAATGTGAATGAGTTTTGTCCTAATGAAAGAATGAGAAGGCATAGGTTTATTGAAGGATTGAATATGGCTTTTTTATTTAAAGTTGGGTTGTATAAGTACCATCATGGTTCAGCACAAAATGCAGTATATATATGGAAGATTAATCCAAATGCTAATGAGACAGAAATAGTTAACAAGAACTATAAGATCCGAACAAAATTAAAAGCCCAATTGAAAATATTTCATACCCGAGCAATGAAAAAAGAATTAATTGAAAATTTTGAACTACACGTAGGAAAATGCGAAAAATCAAGACTTCGTCATATTATTTCTGATCTACTTGGTGATTTTTCTGCATCTGAGAATTCAGCTTCTCAAAAAGTAGATGAAAGGGTTGATATAATGATTGAATTAGGTGATCCAGAATTTATTTCAGATCTTAGGCATCTTAATGGAGGTTTGACAAATAAATTTGACACTTTTTGGAGTTATGCACAAAAATATTTTGAAAATACTGTAAATGAAACTATATTGGCGGTGGATGAAAGAAGACATGATACAATTCAACATTTAGCACAAGCCATTTCAATACGTGATTTGCGCCAACAAGTAACAAATTTATGTCCACCAGATACAGAGATACCATCAGAACAATGGGTAAGATTACAATTTTGGCCACGTAATCCAACTTACCTATCAAGTTTGAAATATACTGGGAAATTAGATGCTAAATTTATGGTACAAAGTAGACAATTACGATGTAATCATATTGACAGTCATTATGCTTCAGCATTATTTAAATATCTGAAAGAATTAGCTATTACTTTTAAGGATTATTCATGGTTGGTTTTTATGGATGACAAACACAGATGTAAGGTTGGAGAACCTGGCTATCCAGTTGCTGCCGTTGAAAGAGGAAAACAAGTAATAGTTTCATGCAATAAGTCTTTTGTTGTTAGTAATCATGATTTTACGAAATGTGGAATTATTCCTAGTGTTACAATGTTTAGTGATATACCAATGAATATAGAAGATTCTTTCTATCAAGGTAAAGTTTATGCAGGGTTAAAAGATCCAATTTTTCAACCATCTAGTCCAATGCGACATAATTCAGAATTGTATAATTTACTTGCAAATGATAAACAGCAAAATCCATTTTTATTAATTTACACAGATGGTGGCCCTGATCATCGTGTTAATTATTTAAGAGTCCAACTTTCTTTAATTGCTTTATTTATTACACAAGATTTAGATTTATTGATAGCAGTGCGTACACCACCAGGACATTCCTGGAAAAATCCTGTAGAACGTATAATGTCTATTTTAAATCTAGGATTACAGTGTATAGGATTAATGAGAGCAGAAATGGATGAAGAGTTTGAAGAGATTATGAAATATTGTAATTCAATGGATGATATCCGAAATAAAGCTGAAGAAGAACCACAATTAAAAGAACAACTATTAAATAGTTTACAACCTACTCTTGAATTAATGGAAAATTTAATTAAGAGACTTGAATTGAAGGGAGAACCATTTGGTACTTTTAAAGCAGCCTTTGATGAAGAAATGACTACATTATGGAATTCGCTTCTTTCAATTGATAATCTTTTAACAATGGAAGATAATTCAAAAAGAAGTATTCAAAATAAAATTAAATTTTTGGAATTTTACAACCATTGTTGTAGATCACGACATTATTTTTTTGAAATTAAAAAGTGTGGATCGTTAGATTGCCATATATGTAAACCCGTAAGATGTGATTCTGAAACTTGGCTCAAAGTTCATAACTTTCCTGATCCAATTCCATCTTTGGATGGTAAAAAATATAAAAGCTTTGAAGAATTGTATGGTCAGGAAACATCAGAAGAATATAGGCCCTCATTAAAAGATAAAAAAAATTCAAATAATGAGATGGGGTTTAAACCTAGTGCACAATGTTGTAAAAATGTAGGCACTCTTATTCAATGTGGGGAATGTGATAAATGGCGTGTAATTTATTCAAAATCAAAGTTAGCTTTACAAGAAAGTGAAGAACTGGCAAGATTTTTAGACGAAATTCAATATACATGTGGTGATAGTTTTTATGACATAGCTTCTAATGACACAAATGATTCTATGAAGAAATTATTCTCTATTGTTAAAGTTAATAACACTTTAACATGTAATAGTCCTATTGAAATTCCATATTATTCAAGTAGATTATTTAAAGAAGTCCTTTGCTTTAATTGTGGTGTAGAATGTGAAGAACACAATACTACTAATCATGGTGAATATTTTCCATATTGTGAAGACTGTGATAGTATGTCAGACGAAAATAAAAAGAGAAAAAGAAAAGAAAAGAAATTTGTAAAATCAAGTAAACAAAAAAATGTTGAGACTAATTAGTTGTAATAATTCAATAAAGCTTAACGCATCAATAAAATTGCATATCGTAGTCACGTGATAAAATTTTTATATATAAAATTTTTTTTATTGAAATTTGAAAAAGTGACCCGGCCGGGTGACGTGAACCGAAAAATCGAATTTGCGTGGCCTTATAAAGCGTGGTCACAGAATATAATTGTTTAAATAGGTCTACGTTTGATTCATAGACATTATCATAAATATATTACATACATATAACTTTTACATTTGTTTTAATAAAACAAAATTTATAATTTTCTTACATATAAAGTAATTAAATAATTAAACTATTACCATATCAAGTATACAAAAAAAGACAACAATTTTGATATACACATTTTTTTGTATTGTACAGCGAGTATTAAAATTTTTTCAGAAACAGAATACAGTAATACATTCATTGTAAAGTTTAAAACTTATTGAGTTATGGGATTTTAAGAAATTGCGTTTAATGTAGGATTGAAGCAAGATCACCTGGCAGATTTTCTCAATTTAGAAAGGTCTAAAATTAAATAAGTATTATATGTTTGTAAATAGTCTTCATTTAACAATTTTTGTTATTTGTGTGTTTAATTCATTTTTTTCTAATACAGAATATTCATTTCTTGGCATTGTGCCTTAAGTTTACACAAACCAAAAATTATGCTGCAACCACATGTGCGAGGTAGATCAGTAGACAATACTAATTTGATAGTTACACATATTTCCCTGTTTAACTTTGTTACCGAATTTTTTCTTTGTGCTCTATGTATTTTACACTCTAAATAATTTTTTTTAATAAACTAAAAGCTTAATAAACTATGTCTGCTATTCGAAGAGATTTAGTCTATGCGACAATCAATAGAGCAATTGATTCAATTGATTATAATATTTATAATGATATCCACAAATGGCGTGAATTTATTAAACAAACGATTCTTGCTGATAGTTCTCTTACAAATGATGAAAAAACTGAAGCAATAAGAATAAATAGTAAATTATATGACAGAGAAAAAATTACTAATAATTCAGGGACAAGAAGAATTTGTGAAAATTGTAACCAAAAATGCTTGGCTACATTATACTGTGAATATTGTGTCCAAAATTATTTAAAGGCAAAATTTTCAAGTTGGACATCTGGAAATAATGATATAGATAATTTAATACAAAAATGTCAATCAGAAGCACTCACGCCAAATAATATAATTGAATGGATTCCATATAATAATTTACAAAGTATTGAATACCTAACAAAAGGTGGATTTTCTGAAATTTACACAGCAACTTGGGTTGATGGAAGATATGAAGATTGGGATTCTAGAAAGCAACAATTAAAAAGATTTGGAGAGCATGATGCAGTACTCAAAAGATTAGAAAATGTTGAAAGTGCGAATCAAAGTTGGTTTGAAGAGGTTCGTAATAAAAAATATTTAAAAGCTTATATTTAAATTCTTTATTATTGAAGGTTACTTACTAAATTATTTTCTTATAGGCTAAATCACATTTAACTATAAGTAACAAAACTACAGAAATTGTTCGATGTTATGGTTTAACACAAAATCCATCAAATGGAAATTATATGCTAGTACTAGATATAATGGATATTAACTTAAGAGAATATTTACTACAAAATCATAACAAACTTACATGGAAAGAAAAAATTAATATTACTTCTATAATAATTGGTGCACTTGATTATATTCATAAAGAAAATTCAATTCATAGAGATTTGCATTCTGGAAATATATTATATTCACAATTTGATGATAATTGGCAGATTAGTGATCTTGGATTTTGTGGTCCTGCAGATAAACCATCAACAAGTATATATGGAAATCTCCCTTACATAGCACCCGAAGTACTTAATGGAAAAGAATATACTTTCAAATCTGATATTTATAGTATTGCTATGCTTATGTGGGAAATTTCATATGGAAAACCACCATTTATAAATCATGAACATGATTATGATCTTGCACTTAATATAATTAATGGTATAAGACCAAAAATTATATCAGAAATTCCTTTGAAATATAAAAATTTAATGGAACAATGCTGGGATGCTGATCCATTAAAAAGACCTGATATTAATATGCTTTTAGGGGAAATAAGAGAAATTAAGATACATTATCAAAATAACCCAAATGAATTGCCTCAACTAAAAGCAAAAATAGACGAAGAAATAAATTCAAACACAAGTAGTAAATTATTTACAAGTAAAATTCATTTTGAAAATTTACCTGAACCAAAAAATACAACAGAAGGTATAATTTATCAATATTTGTTAACTATTTAATCCTTATTAGTTACTAATAATACAAACTTTTTTAATTTATTTAAATAATAACAGAAGAACAAGAAGGTAACATAATTAAATACTTATTCTTATTAAAAAATAATTAATAATCATTAATAATTGAAAATAATCTGTTTATTTAATAGCATTTCATAGCAAATTATATGACTTTAGTATTCCAAAAAATAGTAAGTGAAGTGTTTTTAAGTTTATGTTGAATTTTATATAATGGTATAATATTAAATAATTATTTTATTTTTAGTTGATGATTTTGGCCAATCAAGTAACCAGAATAACAAAAGAAATAGTAATGTTATTGAAGGTAATTTTAAATAAGAATAAATATTCAATTTATGTTTAATACTTACTATTATTAATCTCTTAATTTTAGCTGGTAGTACAAGATTGACCAAAGGGTTTAAAAAATTACGAGTAAATTCAAAAAGTGGTGAGTAAAATATTAACGTTAAAAAAATAAATACTCAAATTAGAGATTATTTATAAAATAAGTGTTTATTAAATGATATTTTATTTAACAATAGTAGATATACAAAATAAATATTATAGAGATACAATACAACAGCCACAAACTGGTGATATTGATGGTAGGCAAACTATTATTTATTTATTAAAAATTTTTAGATAATAAGTAATTATATATTATTTTTTGTTTCATAGATGAAGTTGAAATACACAATAATCCGAATCTTCACTCAGAAGAACAAGATGAGTTGGAAATTCCTGATGGTAAATATTTTCTCCTAAAATAATAATATTTTAGAATTACTAATTTATTAAATTTACTTTAAATAATTAGATATCGATAAATTGTAATTTTACTATTTTTAAGAATTTTGTCACGTTGATGTATCCTGTGAAATCTAACCTAGATTTTAATCTCCAGTGATATTTAATTTTTTTCACATATTAAATTAAATTTCAATGAAAATTAGCTATTTTTATTCTTTTCTCTTTCTCTTTCTTTTTGATTTTATTTTTATTTTTATTTTTTTTTATTGAATTACTATTTAAACACTAAGTCTAGAGTAGTAAGATTCTGTCTTACAATTTCTTAGTTTGTAACTTAAATAGTTCATTCATATAATAAATTACAAATATAAATTATTAGGTTTTTTGTAAAAATTATTCTGCTTAAAATTGCTTCTATTTGACCAACCGGCAACGCTACAATCCTATATTAAAACAAGTGAAATCTCGTAACATATAGAATTTTCTTGAAGTAGATAGAATTGATATAAATAACTTGCAATGTGACAATTATTGTGAGGTAAAAGTTGATAAAATTAATTTGCTCAATTAACTTCATTTAAAAGTATTTATATCATTTATTTATTTATACTATTGGAAAACAAAATGTGGTTACAAAACATATAGAATCCTAAATCTTTAGTATAACTGTAATTATTCATAAACCCAACATAAGCCCTGGTAACACTGCCTAACAGGTACCATTTTCCTACCACGCCAACCTTTGGACGCACATTTTACCTAAAAAAATAAATATAAGTGAACTATCAAATATAACCTCCAACTACACCTCAGACAACCTACTATTATTCAAGGATAAGAGGAAGGGGAAGGGAAATAAAAACCAATTATGCAAAAGAAAATGTAACATTAAATAAAGAAAACTGAGTACTATCCTCATAGTACTCCTAAAAAATAAAAAGATATTCATCGTTAACGGGGAAACTTTCTATTCAACTACACTAGATTTTTATTTTCTTACGTCATTTAAAGTATATTGTATACAAAGAATTTTATTTATAGTATATACTGTAGTAGGCGCGTGATCAACTACTATAACAGCGCAACAATCAAAAAAATATAGGTTCCTTAAATATTTCTCACAAGTCACAACCATCTCCTTGCCCTTTTTAATTGCACTTTACGAAATATTCTTTAATAATTTTAGTATTAGAACCAAATAAATTAAATGAAGTCTTCTACCTCCTAGAATTATTTTCTGCTTGTTATAATATATTATTTAAAATAAACCATTATTTACCAGGAAAATGGAAAAATGTCGCGCTAGTATCATTCAAAAAGAAATTAGAAAATATAAGTGGAAAGTGGATTGATGAAATGAAAATGCATGTTTTATCACAAGAAAGTATAGAAATAATTCCTTCGCTTCGTTCCGGCAATTATCGTTATTAAATTTTCATTTCCAATATCCAACTAATATCCAACATATATGTTCTTTTACATCATTTCTACTGATTAGTCGATGAACATTTACTTAATTCACTAATTATGAGTAAAAATGGAAAATGTTCGTTTTGTCGTCAAGTATAAAAAAAAAATAAATATGAACATAGATTTTTATACATTATTAAGAGTATAAATATTTTTTGATGAATATTTATATTAACTTTCATATTTTCGCTTCAGACGCGAAATTAACTTATTATAATCCTTTTTAAATTTCGTGTGGGATTTTGCTTAAAAGTATTTATTAAAAAAAAATCCGAAATAAATAGTTTAGTAGTAAAATTTATTAGTTTAAAAAACATGAAAATAAAGTATTGTACAATGTTTATTAATGTTTATTGGTTATTATTTTTTTAAAAATAAATTATACAGTACATAGATGGTAAACAAATGTTAATCATCTCCTCTGGGACCATCCTGATCTCAAACGGATATTCTAAAAAGGCTATAGCATAATTATACAATATACTTTATAATAATTTTCACGCCTTTTCTTCAATTACATTTTTTGGGGTGGGATAGAAACAAACAATAAATAAGAGAGCAACAAATTAGGATAGCAAAGTTTAAACTACAATTATTATATTATCCTTTGCTTAAAAGGTTATAGACTCATCAACACGCTAATGATTCTAACGATTATAACAAATTTCCGATTAGTAATCGTTTCATATATTAATTACATTTCCATATATTGTATATGTATTATTTACTGTATTTTAAATATTACGTATACAAAAAATAACTCGCTTTAGTTTATAGTTAAATCAAAGAAAAAATTTCGTATTTTTATTTTTTATTTATAATTTATTTTTTGCAACTTTAAAACCGAATTTGAAAATTAGGTATAATTAATATTTAATACATAAATTTTTCATATATTATTATTTGAGAATTTCGCCAATTCGATTTGAAAGTTTACACGTTTAGATTACTCCCCAACGCGTGACAATCGTGACATGTCTAATCTTCCCCATTTACCGTTGTAAACACTATAAATAAATGTTTTTTTTCTCGCGTCGAATATTAACTTGCCCGTTCACCTATTTCTTTATACATCTTATTTTTTGGAAACCTTGGAAACCTATATTATATAAATATTGTCTTTTCTTTTTTATTTATTTCTTTTTATTATTTTTATCGCACATATTATAAACAATAAATATTAATATTTTGCGTTCCTTTGAAATTTTTAAAGTTTGTTTTAGCAAGTATTAAAGTATTCATATATATTAATTTTATATATTTCGGCGTTTTTTGTATAAATAGCACAAACTACTTTATCAGTTATACAGAGAATTTTAAAAACAAAAACAAAGAAAAAAATTTTGTTAAAACTTAAATATTGTCTTTTTCAAAAGTTAAATGTTACACAAGATCAATCAATCAAAATTTAGACGTCACACTTTAGATCACGTGTTCAAGCTTTTTTTGTTGGTTACTTGGTTACGCTGGGGATTTGATTGGCCATGTGTATTCTATCCAAGAGATAAGAGATTGAAATTTTTAATCAGGTTGCTAATAACGAAAAAAAAGTTTAATTTCATTTTTGGTACATGATGTAATCGGCCGCAGCAGATCGCAATTATCGCATTCGGTTACTTTTTTTTTAAATCCGATTATTTTTTTGGTTCTTTTTTTTTTTAACCTGAAAAAAATTTAATTATTTTTATTTTTGGGGTTTTTTTTTATTCAATACCGAAAAAAATTTTTTTAATTATTTTTTTTTACCTTCAGTTTTTCAGTTCAATACTGAAAATAAATTTTTTAATCATTATATTATTTGTTTCAGTTCAAACTGAGTTCAATATCAAAAATAAATTTTTTTTTTTAATCCTTTTTTTTATAGTTCAGTTTCGAAAATAAATTTTTTTTAATCAATTTGCTAATTTTTTTCAATTATTTTTTTATTTTTAATTCATTATAGAAAATAAATTTTTTTAATCAATTTTTTTTTTATTTTATTTTTTTGGTTCAAACTGAAAAAATTTTTCTTGATTATTTTTTTTGTTTTTGGTTTTTAGTTCAAATTTCTATAATTTTTTAATCATCATTTTTATTTTTTTTCCGTTCAAAACCGAAAAATAAATCTTTTTTAATTAGTTTTTTATTTTGGTTATTTTATTTTTATTATTATAATTTTGTGGTATGGCTTTCTTTGATCAGTTTCATATGCAAAATATTTTGTTTATAATAAATTTGATTCATATTGAATTTTTCATCCATCGGATAGATTTTCAATCCGGATCTAATTTCTCTTTTTTTCTATATTTGAAAAGAGTTTTTAAATTAACTATATAATATGTCTAAGGATATCTCAAAAAAAAATTCTTGCCTTTATTGATTAAATCCGTGTATAATTGCCAAAATGTCCCGATCCGCCAGTCCGCGAATTGAAACTCTAAACTTGTTAAACCCTCACCATTCTTTTATTTTAATAACATAATTTGATCCGTACAAACTTTCATTATAATTAGAATTACAAGATAATGATTTTCATTACTTGTAATATGAATCAAATATATTATTATAGAATGTTCTAGTTAGTAATTTCCAAGAATTTTTTAAATGACAAGAACTCTTTCCATATTTAAGATTTATGTATACATTATTTTTTTATTTCACTGGAAGTTTTAATGATATATTTATACGTAATACCATTTAGTTTAATTGCTATCAAAGAAAATCAAAATTTTTACTTTTTATTCACACTGTTCAAAGAGAAAAAATTGTTAGTTTTGAATATTAATTCATAACCTTTATTAGAAGAAATAAATTCGTTAAGATGTACACGGTTTTGTAATTAATGAAAATATTTTTATTTTTACTTTAAAATTTTCGATAAAATAGATTCTTTATAAATTTAAGGCGTTAATTTTTTTAAATTCGTAATATAGATAAACAAAAAGTTTTTCATGATCTAGTGTTAGAAAATTTGAAGGATTAATACAATATAAAGTTTAATACAGAAGTATATAATATGACTATTTAAATGCAATAATATTGTTTGAAATAAAAAACAAATAATAATATTTATACATTGCTTTTTGGAATTCTGATATCTGTTGAATAATCACAAAACATGCAACATCCATAAACCAAAATAGCGTTGTCGATTTATCTTGTTTATTTGAATATTAAATTTGTAAAGATGTTTCAAAATCATTAAAATCACTATCTCTTTTATTTCAAATTTGATGACTTTAATCGCGTGTTATGATAATTATGACGTAATAATTGAAAATGTCGTAGTGACATGCGAGTATCGTTTCCTGAATCTATGTTTTGCAATTTATGAACGAAAAAAATTAACAAATATTTGAATCATTATTTATATAAAGACGTGGTCACAAAAATATAATTATTTGAATAAAGATCACGTTTGATTAATATAAATTATATATATATACAACATATTTATAAAATTAACTAGTTTAACTCTTACAATCCAAAATTAAAAACTTTTTTTTACATATAATGATAATTAGATAATTACATTATTACCATGTCGAGAACACAAATACTTTGATATACTTATATTTATTCATTATAAGCGAGTATTAATATTTTTTTTAAGAACAGAATAATACATTGCGAAGTTGTAACATTATTGAGCTATGGAAAATTACAATAACTCATTTTTTTTAAAAGTTACGGTTAACGTACTAGGGATGAAGATCACCGGGAAATTTTCTCAATTTAGATAATAACTAAAATTAAATAGATATTCACAAAATAACGTTTCAAAAGTTCAAAATAATTAAAATGAAGACTATTGTCACACATATACAGTTGTTCAATTTGTGGCTAACTAGATTTTTTTTCCCGATACAGAAGATACAGAGAAATATCAAGGTACTTTATGTAAGTTAATATTTCGAATTGTATACTGTTTATGATTAAGGATCGGTCCTAACGGTCCTACTCGGTCCTGGACTGGTCGGTCCCAGGACTTGTAGGACCGGACCGCGGTCTTGCATTTTTTATGGCGCAGTAGGGGTCCTCATACCGGTCTTCATATAATGAATTAAATTTAAAGCTAAAAAATTTTTTTATTTGCAAAAAAAAAGAAAAAAGACTGATAAGTCTTAAAAAGGCTGCGGTACTTAGAAAGACCGACGGTCTTATTATATGTGATACAGGACCGAAAGATCGCAGTCCTACACCAAGACGGACCGGTCCGTCTTTTTAAGGTGTAAAACCGTAGGACCACGGTCTTTTAGGACCGATGACCATCTTTATTTATGATAGATTATTAATTTATTTTTTTATTTTATAGATGAAGTTAAAATACACAATGATCCAAATCTTCACTCAGAAGAACAGGATGAATTAGAAATTCCTGATGTTAAAGATCTTTCTTAATATAATAAATAATATTTTAGAATTACCAATTTAATAAATTCATTGAATAGCTAGATATTGATAGTAAATTTCTAAGAATTTTGTTTCGTTGCTGTATCCTGTGAAATGTAATTTCACATATTAGATTAGAAAATTAGCTATATTTATTTTCCTTTCTTCTTTTTCGATTTTATTTTTATTTTTATTTTTTATTCTTTGAATTAATGAATGTTTAAACACTAAGTCTAGAGTAGTAAGATGTCTTACAAATTTCTTAGTTAATATTTCATTCAAATTTATTAAAATAACATGATAAAATTATTCTGCTTCTATTTTACCAACGCTACATCATATAATTAGAGTAAAGCTATCGTCATAGTATTTTCTCGAAGCGGATAGAATTGATATAGATAACTAGTAATATGCCAATTATTATGAGACAAAAGATTATGAAGTTTGCCGATAAAATCGTTTAAATTTGCTCATTAATTTTGTTTAAAAGTATGCAAAGAATTTTTATAAATTAATTAGACGTTTATATATATACATACACGTGACCATCTACATATAACGAAAAGACTAATAAAAAAAAGGATTTGTTCCTGATTATCATATGATCTGCGCACATGATCCAGTAATTGTCTTTATTGATTAAAAAACCATCTAACTATTACCTGTATGTATAGCAAATATAAGTTATATATTTTTAAACTAAAAATTTTTTAGTCTTGTAACTAGTAGAAAAAATTGTTAAATTTAAATAAACCCTTGATTGCTTTAACATGTATTGGACGTGAATATAATATCCCAGGACCACATACGACGGAAATCACGTGACTTCTTCATCACCAAGTATCTGAGGGACGAAATTTTTAGTAGCATATTATCTGTCACAACTCACAATTTCAGCCAAAATGTGTAATGCCAGCCGGCTATTTCGTTAAATTTTTTGTGAATTAATAATCTATTTTTTCTATTTTTTTAGTTTTCAACTTGCTAGTTTCATATTTATTTTATAATAAATAAAAGTAACATTTAAGCTGCTTGTTAATTATTAATTTTGTTCCTGGACAATTTTGCCTTATTTTTACATGTTCACTCTATTTTTTCCCTTTTTGTTATTAATTTCATATGGACAATTTTTTAGCCAATTTGTTTATTGATTTCGCATGGACAATTTTGACCACTTTTTAATTATCTTAATTCTGGTCGGAATTATTTAAGAAATTTAATTCTAGCTGGAATTGTAAGTAGCACAGACGCTAATGTCACATGATTACAACTTTGGTTGAAATTAGTGTCTTATCATAGTAATTTGGTAATTCGGTATACCCATACCAAATTTGATTCTGTACTTACTTATACAATATTGTTATATACCCAGAATGAAGTATCATATTAACCATACTTAACAATTTTAGCACCATGCCATATATACAATAGAGTATTCTCCTTTAGTCGCTGCTGCAACATGTTATTGTGATAATAAGTGATCTGTAAATAATTTCTATTACGTAGTAACATAATTATAACGTGATCATAATCGAATGATTGATTGTCGGGATATTGAGATAATAAATACATTGTCGAGTTTCGTCAACAAATTAATTAGTACTGTACTTTAACCTTAATCGAGAATACGAGTATCGTTTCCTGTCTCTGTTTTGTAATTTATGAACAAAAAAATTAATAAATGTTATAAATTATAATAAAATCATTATTTATATAAATGCGTAATCACAAAAATATACTAATTTTTTAAATAAGGTCTATGTTTGATTCATATATATTATATATATATACAACATATTTGTAAAATTAACTAGAAATCATATAAATAATGTTTAATTTTACAATCTAAAATAAAAACTTTTTTACATATAATGATAATTAGATAATTACATTATTACTATGTCGAGAACACAAACAAAGACAAATACTTTGGTATAATTATATTTATTTATTATACAGCAAGTATTAATATTTTTATTTTTTAAGAATTAGAATAATACATTTTGAAGTTTAAACATTATTGAGCTATGGAAAATTACAATAACTCATTTTTTTAAAAGTTGCGGTTAAACGTAGGGATGAAGATCACCGAAAAATTTTCTCAATTTAGATAATATCTATCTAAAATTAAATAAATATTTACAAAATAACGTTTCAAAAGTCCAAAATAATTAATATGAAGGCTATTGCCAACCATATAAAGTTGTTCAATTTGTGGCTAACTAGATTTTTTTTTCCTGATACAGAATATTCATTTCTGGCATTTTTTACACAAAACCAAAAATTATGCTGCATGTGCAAGGTAGATCAGTAGACAATACTAAGATTTAATGGTTACACAAACTACTCGTTTAACTTTGGTACCAAATTTTTTTCTTTGTGCTCTGTGTTTTACGCTCAATTTTTTTAGTAAAGCTAAAAGCTATAATACTTTAATAAACTATGTCTGATATCCGAAGAGATTTAGTTTATGCAACAATCAATAGAGCAGTTAATTCAATTGATTATAATATTTACGATACTGCACACAAATGGTTTGAATTTGTAAAACAAACGATTCTTGCTGATAATTCTCTTACAAATGATGAAAAAACGGAAGCAATAAGAATATATAGTAAAGACTATGACCGATATATAATTATTCATAATTTAGGGACAAGAAGAATTTGCGAAAATTGTAATCAAAAATGCTTGGCTACATCATATTGTGAATATTGTGTCCAAAATTATTTAAAAACAAAATTTTCAAGTTGGACATCTGGAAATAATGATATTGATAATTTAATACAAAAATGTCAATCAGAAGCACTCATGCCAAATAGTATAATTGAATGGATTCCATATAATAATTTACAAAGTATTGAATATCTAACAAAAGGTGGATTTTCTGAAATTTATACAGCAACTTGGATTGATGGAAGATATGAAGATTGGGACTCTAAAAAGCAACAATTAATAAGATCTATAAGGTATATCCAAGTGGTACTCAAAAAATTAGAAAATGTTGAAAGTGCAAGTCAAAGTTGGTTTGAAGAGGTATATAATCTAAAAATATTTATCTTTTATGGTAAAAATTATTTAACTTATTGAAGTTTTAAATTATTTATTACAGGCTAAATCACATTTAACCATAAGTAATAAATGGTCACATATTGTTCCATGTTATGGTTTAACACAAAATCCATCAAATGGAAATTACATGCTAGTACTAAGTAAAATGGATATAAATTTAAGAGAATATTTACAACAATATTATAATCAACTTACATGGAAAGAAAAAATTAATATTACTTCTACAATATTTGATGCACTTGAAAATATTCATAGAGAGAATTCAATTCATAGAGATTTGCATTCTGGAAATATATTATATTCACAATTCAATGATAATTGGCAGATTAGTGATCTTGGATTTTGTGGTCCTGCAGACAAACCATCAACAAGTATATATGGAAACCTTCCTTACATTGATCCTGAAGTACTTAATGGAAGAGGGTGTACATATAAATCAGATATTTATAGTGTTGCGATGCTTATGTGGGAAATTTCATCCGAACAACCACCATTTAATAATCATGAACATGATTGTGATCTTGCACTTAATATAATTAATGGCATGAGGCCAAAAATTATATCAGAAATTCCTTTAAAATATAAAAATTTAATGGAACAATGCTGGGATGCTGATCCATTAAAAAGACCTGATATTAAAACACTTAGAGATAAAATGAGAGAAATTAAGTCATATTATCAAAATAATCCAAACGAACTACCTCAACTAAAAGCAAAAATGGATAAAGAAATAAATTCAAACACAAGTAGTAAATTATTTACAAGTAAAATTCATAAATTTGAAAATTTACCTGAACCAAAAAATGCAACAAAAGGTATTATAATGTGTTTTTTATTATCTATGTTAATATTAGTTACATTATTAATACATCTCTCTTTTTTTTTAATAATAGAAGAACAAGAAGGTAAAAATAAAAATAATTTTTATTTAAATTTATATTATAGTGTTTAATCCTTATTTTATAATTTTTTTAGCATTTCACAGTAATAAAACATATTATAACTTCAATATTCCTGATAGCAGTAAGTATTTATTTGAATTTGAAATTAAATTGTATGATATTGATGAAATTATTTGCTTTTCAGTTGATGGATTTAGTCAATCAAGTAACCAGAATAACAAAAGAAATAGTAATGTTATTGAAGGTAATTTAAATAAGAATAAATATTCGATTTGTGTTAAATACTTAGTATTAATATCTTAATTTTAGCTGGTAGTACAAGATTGACCAAGGTGTTTAAAAAATTACGGGTAAATTCAAAAAGTAGTGAGTAAAATATTATAAATAAATACTCAAATCAGTCAGTTATTTGTTAAACGATATTTTATTTAAACAATAGTTGATATACAAAATAATCATTATAAAGATACAACACAACAGCTACAAATTGGTGATATTGATGGTAGGTAAACATTATTTATTTATTAAAAATTTTTTAGATAATAATATTATTTTGTTTCATAGATGAAGCTGAAATACACAATAATCCAAATCTTCACTCAGAAGAACAAGATGAATTGGAAATTCCTGATGGTAAACATTTTTTTTAATGTAATAAAATAATATTTTTAGAATTACTAATTTATTAAATTTTATTTAAATAATTAGATATTGATAAATTATAATTTTATTTCAAAGAATTTTGTCTCGCTCATATCCTTTAAAACCACTTAGCATAATCTAGATCTTAAATTCCAGTGATGTTTAACATATTAGATTAAATTTACAAATCGTTTAAAGTTTTCTGGGCGTAACCCTGAATGAGAATGAGTTGTATTTATTTTTTTTCCTTTTTCTCTTTCTTTTTGATTTTATTTTTATTTTTATTTTTTATTCTTAATTACTATTTAAACACTAAGTCTAGAGTAGTAAGATAACTTACGATTTCTTAGTTTGTAATTTAAATAGTTCATTTATATTATAAATTATAAACATAAATTATCCATTTTGTTATGTAAAGTTTATTATAATAACATCATGAAATTATTCTGTTTTAAAGTCGCTTCTATTTGATAATGATTCATTATAATATTAATATCGATCGTTATTACAGTATTTTCTTGAAGTGGATAAAATTGATAACTAATAATGTGTGAGATAAAAGTTTTGGTTGTGCTGCTAAAATCGTTTTAACTTCATTTAAAGTATGTTGTATATACGAAGATTTTAGAATTTTGTTTTTACCTAAAAAGTTTAGTATATTATACAGACACGTGATCAACAACTACCGCTAACAGCAAATTTACAAAAAAAAAACAAACAAAAAACCCATTTTCGATATTAAAAAAAAATTAAAAGAAAAACGATGATTATTATTACCGACCGCATAATTTTGTCAATTTGAACAAAATAGATCGTAAAAAATTTTAGAAAAAATGTACTTTAATTAAAGATTAGATTTTCGCGTCTTTCTCAAAAAAACTATCCGAACATGGCCATTGGAGCTTAACAAAATTATTAAATGTGTATAGTCATGTATACTTATTTATTTAAATATGCAATTATTTTTTATTAAAGAAATAGGTTCTTTAAATATTTCTCAAATTATTTCCTCGTTCTTTTTAATTATACAAAACTTTTTTTATAAATATTCTTTAATAATTCAGCGTAAGAACCCAAATAAAATAAAATGAAATTTTAAATAGCTATCTACTTTTTAGAATTATTTTCTGTTGTTATAAACTATAAAACTATTATTAAAATAAATTATTATTTACTAAGAAAATGGACAATTTTATACAGTAAATATGAAAAACACCGATATCGTATTAGTGATCAGCAAAAAAAGAAAGTAGAGATGACGTAATTGAATAGATGACGTAAGTGAATTGATAGAAAGACATGGGTTATTTATTACAAAAAAATTCCTCCACTTCGCCCTGGACTACTATCATGATTAAATTTTCATTTCCAAATATCCAATGTCCAACATATTTTTTTGTGGATTAACTGACAAACATTTACATGTACTTAATTTACTAATGATAAGTGGAAAATGTTTGTTCGGTCGCCAGATATAGACATTATTATAAATGATCGAATTTGCTTTTTAACATTAATAATTTTTTTTTTAAGAATAAAAAATAAAATATGGACTAGAATTTTTATACAAAGGATTCGGTTATTACTTGTATAAATAGTTTTTTGTTGAATAAAATTATCATTATTATTTGGTGCACAAAAAAAAAAATTGCGACTGACATTCAAACCTCTAAAAATTGAGTTAATTTGAAGATTTATTTTATCTTTATTCGATTACTTTCATGATTTCGCTTCAGACGCGAAATTATAGTGAAAAGATTGTTGATGTGCAATAATAACTTATTATAATCCTTTTTAAATTTTGTGCTAAAAGAATATATTAAATTTAACCATGAAAATAAAAGTATTGTACAATGTTTATTAATGTTTATTGATTATTAATAGAATAGTGGATTGATGATAAATTAAAGTCGTAACGTCGATCTCTTCTATCACACGAAATTACGAATATTTTAAAAAGGTTATCGTTGTAACATGTTTATACAATACTTTTTATAATAATTTTCTTTAAAAAAAGATTAATAAGTGAATAACAAATTAAAATAATAAAATCAACTAGATTACAACCATTATATTATTTCTCATGCTTTATACTATAAGTACAGTACGTTAACGAATATGTTGTCGTGCCTTAATTTTTACTCATTACTTAAAAGCATCACAAACTAATGATTCTAACGCACGATTTATAATAAATTCTCAATTAATTATTCATATATTATTTTTTGACTATGGATTACCGTACCGTATTATTAATAGAATTATTAATTAGTAATTTCCAAATACTCACTGTATATAGTAAATATTTGTGTATACAAAAAAAAAATAACTCAAATTTCATTTACTAGATTAGTTAGAATAAAAATTCGTATTTTTCAATGTTTTAATTTTTAATTTATTTTTTTTATAACTTAAAACCAAAATTTTTTGAATTTGGTTTCGAAAATTATTATTTCAAATTAATATAAATGATATTTAATACATAAAATTTAAAATATTTAATTGGTAGACATATATTATATGACGTATTCCACCAATCCAATTTATATTAAAAATTATGTTTATATGTGTTACTATAAATATTCCAAAGTGTCAATCAAAATAATTAGACAAGCGTCTAACATCTCGGATACAAAAATTAATCATTCTATTTATTTAACTAATATAATTTAGTGAATCCTAAAACTTATATTATCCAATCATACTAACATTTTATAAATATTTAATGTATGTGGCTTCAATATTATCGTTATGGTTTTTTAAAAAGAAGTTTCTCATAAATTATATAATTCTAATTATAGTTAGTATCAATACAAAATATATTTATAATTACTAAAAAAAAAAAAATAATCTCTTATTGAAAAGATTCTTGATAAGTACGCAGGAGAAAAACAAGGGACTGATCCCTGTGATTAATTATTTTACTTACATATTTTTCATTTTACGTATAAATGTACTTGTAAGGGATTTTGCACGTGAGTTTTTTTTTTATGGAAAAGTTCGGTTAAAAAAATTATTTATTTATTATTTATTTATTCTTTATGATCATTTTTGTGAAAGCGTAGACTGATCTAGACCTCTCCATTTTTAGTTTAAAGGTACATGTAAATCATTGATCATCAATATGTTTATTACCTGCGGTAATATTGTATATTAGTAAGTTATAATATATATTATTTAATTATATTTATTATATTTATGAATTCAAAGTTTATCTGTTATTTATGAAACCAGGATATATAAAGACAAGACATTAATTACGATAAATGATTAACAATGAAAACAATAAAGACTTTAATTTGAAAAAAAAAATGAAACTAAATACAATTAGCAAATCGTAAAATAATAATATATTGGATGATCATTTGATCAAAACAATTAAACAATTAACGTTAAACAAAAAAAATAAAAATGAAAAATAAAAATGAAACGAAAAATGAAAGAAAAAATGAAAAAAAAATATGAAAAAAAAAAGATGAAAGTTTGCTTTGAGAACATTGTAAAAATAAATATCATTGTAGAAATAAATATTTTTAAATGGAATAAATAAATAAATGATTATTTTATTTACAATTACTTACATTAATGAATTATTCAAAGGAAAATCCGAGGTATGGTTTTCTTTATTTAGTTTCATAAAGATCGTTGTTATTTAAAAAAAGTTAATATTTAACTCCTTTAAAAGGATTCATTTCCCGAATTATTTAATTATTTATTGTAAGGGAAAATATATTCCGGCTGTTACGGCTATTGCCGGATAACGGGCGGATTTATCGGGAGAAAACTTCATTGGTCTTTTTTGGATTACGTGGAATTTTTGCTAAACTTGTAGTAAGGCTCATTCATTATAAATCATTTTTGATTAAATTGTTTGATATTTTGTCTCATTAACGCAAAAAAGGAGTGAGAAATAATGAATTTTATTTATGCTATTTCACGTAATGCATGCCGTGTAACATATTAATTTACTTTGATTATATAAACATTATTATTAAACTATTAAAAAGTTTAAATTATCTTCTCCTTTTTAGGATTTTTGAAATAGATTCGGAGATTACTTTTTACCCCTCTAACAAGAACAACTTTAGGGGGAAATTTAACCAATTAATTCTTTCTTAACTGATTATCTACTTTCATGTTTTGCATTAATTTTGTGAAATTATTTATATTAAGGTATTGATTCCCTCTTTTTTAAAAAATATCAGGTTCCCTGGTAACGGGCACAATGGGGAGATCTCTCTAAATGGATAATCCAAATATGTCCAATTATAAATGGTATATTGCATGCATCTTTCTCACGCCAAGATATCTTATAAATTATGTCTGCTGATACTAAAAAAAATTTTTTTTTTTTTTTTTTTTTTTTTTTTTTTNTTTTTTTTTTTTTCTTTTCTTTTCTTTCAGTCCTTTTAGTCTCGTATTTTTGTGACAACTAGAAAGAGACGTATATATATATTTTTTAATATATATATATATATATTAATATATTTATTTTATATATTTATATTTATATTTATATTTATAATTTTACGAAAAACTTTTTCAGTCTTTTCCAACACTATAATATTATCCATACCATGACCGATCGTCCGTCATCTCCCAATCCACGTAAACAAACCGACGCATCTTCTCTTCTTCTAGAACTCGCTAAAATTTTTTGTCTAAAAAAATTTTCTCGAGCTTTAATTAATAATAAACCTTTATTAAACAATGATATAGATGATCATTATAAACCTAATATAGCTCATGATCTTAAATCGTTTCATAAATATAATTTTCCTTCTTTTAATGACGAAGATTTTGAAAGATTAAATTTAGATCATTATTTATTTCGATTTCAATGGCAAAGTAATTTTTCCTCCCCTATAGAACAAAATTTATTATCAGGTGGTTTAAAAGTACTTGATGTGGGATGTGGAACTGGTACTTGGATTCTTGATATGGCAAAAGAATATCACTCTACAAATATTTATATCGGTATAGATATTTTACCAATCCTTCCTGATGAAAATTCTCGTCTTTCAAATACTGGTTTTATACAATGTGATCTTCTTGATGGAATCCCATTTCCTGATTCTACTTTTGATTTTGTTTGTGAAAGGTTCTTAATTTATCCTGATCTTACAGATTCTCAATGGAAATATCTTTTTTCTGAAATTAAAAGAGTATTAAAACCAGGTGGTTATCTGGAGATAATGGAATATCGTATAGGTTACGATAATCCCGGTCCAATAACTCAAAATAGAAATGATCAAGGTAAGCGAGTACATTGGTAGTGTTCATTAGTACTGCATCTTAAGTTCTAGTAGTTCTCACCATCATTATTTTTTTTTAAAGTCTTTAGATATTTGAATTCTAAGGGAATCGATCCAGAAACTACCATAAATTCAATTCCTCAAATGTTACAATCATCTTCATTTTCAGACTTTCATAAACAAGATAAAATTTGTCCGATAGGTCGTTGGGGTGGAGAAATTGGTTTGATGGTAAGTGGTTCATCCGTGATTCTCGTGATCCTCGTAATCCTCGTAATCCGTCAATAAAAAATCTTCATATTAATTAATTTAATCATTATTATTTTTTGTTTAGATGCTAAATAGTTATGAAACGTCCCAAAAAGCCTTAAATAAACGATTTCAACCAGGTTTAACGGAAGAAGAAACAGATGATATATTTGCTTCTATTGCAAGTGAATTTGATGAGTACAAAACTCAACTTGTAAATTTTAGATGTTATGCTCGAAAAAACTAAATTCAATTTTTGATGATTAATTAAAACAAATAATAATTTGATTCATGAACAACGACTAAATTTTAATTTTTATTATATTCCACTCTACAATTTTTTTTTTCTTTGTTATGTTTTATTTCGCAATTATATTCCAAAAAATAACCAGATCAAGATAGATAGATTAGTTCATATTTAACGTACACCTTTTTACTTTTTAATTAGACGAACCTAATTTTTCTTTTTATTTATTACACGGAATCGAACGAAGGAAAATTTTACATCATTTTTTTTTAATTTAATAACGTTAAAATTTCTCGTGATTGATTTATACTACATTAAGTATAAAAAATTTTGAGAATTTAAAATAGATTATACGCAACAACAAAAAAAAAAGAAAAAAAAGAAAAAAAATAATTATTGAAAATTTAGATAATATTGATAATATTTTTTTATTTATTTTTTTTTTTTTT